TCGAGAAAATACAAACGATCTTTTTCATTATTAGTTTTCTCTTCAATGCCATGCTCAAATGCTCTAATAAATGCAATATACTGCAATGGGTCACCATCAAATACTGAGATCTCTCTTCTTGGTAAGATACGAGGATTTCCTTGCTGTTGAATGAGATAAGATGTTAACCCCTCTTGTCTTTTCAAAACTTCAAACAGTGGATCACCATGGCGAGGAGGTGCATGTGACGTCTGATCGACTCCCATACAGCTCGATTGCACTTGAGCAGAATATTGGAAATCAGATTGTTGAGTTGTGTGGAATATTTGTTGATTTCTTCATCCTTTCCATTGATTCTCTGTTATGACTCTTGAAAAAGAGAGATCAGCCACTCCAGCTGTATTTGTTGACTTTGAATTCCCTTGTACATATTCATTTGCTTCGGATTCAAACACTTTGGCCGAGCAGAATAAAACTTAAGGTTATCAGCCATATTAATCCCAATTGATTTTGATCTTGAATTGTGTGAACATTTGCTTGGATTATCAGCCCTTTGCAACACAGCGATCCTTTGCATTTGAAGCTGCTATTTTAGCATCCAACTCCAATTGTTCCTTTTTCTGTCTCAAATCCTCCTCCTGAGATTCAATTGCATGTTTGGCCTTCAATGCAGCAGCTTGTGCCATAAGTGCAGCCTTTTCTGCCTCCACTTGAATGCATAGATGTTATAGATGAACTGCGGTGTGAGCTGCGTTTACTACGCTTGGAGGTAGCGCAAGACAGTTTGAGACGCTGTCCCCAGGACCAACATCACTACATACTTCACCCGTTTCAGACTTTTCCTGACCTTTTGCTGTATCTGATAACCATTTGTTCACCTGTTCAATTAACTCGTTATTTGGTATCATTTTGGCTTTAAACCATATTTCATGTTTTTCAGCTTCTCCAACTGGTAAAATAACCAACAGTAACTCATGTGCTTCTTTAGCCTCTGAAAATAACCTCATAAATTCTTCAAAAGGCAAGCGTACCTCAGGTTCATACTCACTGTTTTAATCAATTAGCTTGTTAATTGACTCTATTAGTTTCTGAGCCTTGTAGCCGTTCTTAAATTTTGCAAAGTCTCAAGTTTTTCTATGAGCCTTAGCTGTTAATTTAACAGGTCTTTTCCCTCTTTCAAACTCGTTTTCAACATTAGACGTTTTGATTTGATTTGACTGGCGCTATAGCATTCATAGACATTTCGGTTTCCATTTTGCAAACATTTATGCACAACATACAATTCAAACACATTAACAATGTTCGTCTGTCTTTGGCAACCAATGCATTGGAATTACGCAAATGTGTGCACACAATATCACATGGCCATTTTAATGCTGCAACAACGTACCTACAAATCCAGTCGAACGATCGGCCCTTTAAACAGCCAGATGAGTGCACGGCAATCCAATGATGACACCAACAAAAGAGGGAAATTTAATCCAAATGAATCCACTGAGTAAAGTCCAGCCCGAGGTATTGACGAGACGATCCTCACGTGCAGAAACACCGCGACTTAATCCAAACAAACAGCCTCCCTCGGTCCATTGAAACAAGCGTGTTGACAAACCTTGTGTTGCCTGCCTGTTGACAAAACAACCTTTAGCCCACTCCAGATGATCTCCTTTCCAATGAAGCAGAAGTACAGTTTATGACTTTAATGTTACTGCTTTCCAGTGCCCTTGCCGTTGAGGAAGTTTAGAACGTGTAGGGTAGACTGGGTACAGTTGAGACATTTTTTGTGTTTTAATTTTTCACACAAATAGATACTGAAAAGACGTGAATTTCCACATGACATTGATTTCATTAGCTTGTAGACTAAGATATTATCAATCAATATTACTCACAAGTAGTTTATATTTTCCACAATTAGCTCATAAAAATAAGTTGTTTTTTGTCTCAACTTTGTCTCAACTGTACCCATATGTGGTACCATGGTACAGTTGAGACATCAGATCATTTTTAATGATGTAAAGTAAAGGTAACTAATCGTTCATTGAAAATATAATAAATAAAGACAAATAAAAAAAATAACAATTGGGCAACATGTTTGTTTATTCATCCATTCAAATTCATTAATTTTATTTTAATTGGGACTGGTTAAATTTCATACAACAATTTATTTTATATATTCATTAATAATACACAGTTTAATTATCACAAATACCAAATTTTTATTTCATTTGCGGCTTATGCTGGCTAATTGTGACATTTAACCTGTTACCATAACACTGAACAACTAAACAGTGTGTTTCCTAATTGAACTCGTACAGTTGAGACAGTAGCTGGCCACCTCGAACATTTCTCTAGATTTTGCAGTGACCATGCATGACAGTGACACAATACATACCATGAAATATGCCCGTTTTTAGGGCACAGAATAACATTTGTGATTATACCAGTTACGTTCAACAGTCACATAATGATGATAATAAGCTATTCATTGTGGAGTGTGCATGGTGAAGTGAACGTCTTACCTTAAGAAAAAAAACTTTTGCCAATATCTTTGGATCGGAGATGCGTCCATTGATCAAATTTCCCACGATCAAAGAGGATACTAATACTACGCTTGTGCACAGCAAAAATCACAACTTTTGCTGGCTGCACACGCAAGTTATTTAACGTGTCTCAACTGTACCCGTCCTACCCTACAAACAGAGTCCATGACCATAGATTGTATGCAATAAAAGTCTCTTTATTACTGGCTTTAGTAAACATGATCGCGAACTTGCTGTGGACGTTCCTTGTTTACATACAAAAAGCCATACGACAGCATACAACTAAAATTCTCCTTCCAAACTACTCTGTCGTGAGGTCAAAAACTGTGTGCTTCTCAAATCACCAACGCAACGCACGTGTACACCTGTGGCTCAGGGGATCTAATTATACACAGCTCCACCCAGTGGACAAAAACGTTACTATCCCCAAAATGGCTCCCATAGCATGAGTGCAGATGTGACGTAATGGCTCAATACAGCTTATACTAGCCGAAACTCTTCTTTATGTGTGCAGATTTGACGTAATGACTCAATATAGCTTCTAGCTGAGACTCTTTTTATGTGTCCAGATGTGACGTAATGACTCAATATGGCTTATTAGTCGAGACTCTTCTTTATGTGTCCTGATGTGACGTAATGACTCAATATAGGGTAGTAGCCTATACTAGCCGAGACTCTTGTTTTTTGTGTACTGTTGTGTGAAACATGCAATTTGTTCAGTTATTCCCAGTGTAAACTGTTTATAAGACTTTATAGGCTAAATAGTCTTTTATATGTGATAGGCTACAGTTTTTATATGTAAACTGTTTATAAGACTTTAAATAGTCTTTTATATGTAATACAGTTTTTATATGTAAACTGTTTATAAGACTGTATAAATAGTATTTTATATGTGTTACAGTTTTTATATGTAAGTTGTTTATAAGACTTTATAGATCTTTCATTTACAAGCATGAAATTACAAGAGTGATAATGAAATTGTTCATACAATGAAACAGATGAACTACACGGAAACATTTTCTAGTAAAAATGTTTATTAGGTTTAAAGACTACACAGAGACATGTTGTAATAAAAATTTTTATTGGGTTTATAAAGACAACAGAGACATGATTTGGAAGAATTATTTTATTGAGGAAATGAGCAAGTAAAATGTAAGCAGTATTAAGAAACAAATATTAAACATGCATATAGTAAGGAAAAAGCAAGTATTACCTGAGTGAGGCCGAGCTCGAAGGAGAAAGAAAGAGCTTTTTATAAGAGAATTGTGAAAGCATATGAAATTGAGTATGTAATAAGGAGATGTGACATGTAATATGCATTATAAAAAGTACAGTATTCCATATTGAAGGCGCTGGAAGCTGATCCAGCCTCTCCATTGTTTGATGGTCCAAGCCTGACACCTGCTGGTGGAACTTGTAGCTGCTTTTATTGAACTACAACTTGTTAACTTGTTTGGAAAACTTTGATAACCTAATAAAATTACATATACTAATTATAAAAAAAGATTGCCTGTCACAAGTCTCTGCTTTCTATAAAGAACTTAACCACGGAGGACTAAGTATGATTCTGAATAGCCTACTTATTATCTTATTTTGTTATTACTTATTAACGTATTATCACGGGGATTTCGGATGCCCCAACGCCTGTGATGAGAAGACCAACGCCTGTGAAGAGACTACTCAACGTTATGGCGCCAATACCACAACATATGGCGCCGTTTTATATATAAACAATATTTATATTTAATATTTATATACACTCTAAAAAATGCTGGGTTGTTTTAACCCAACTTTGGGTCAAATATGGACTAACCCAGCCGTTGGGTTAAATTTTTACATTACATTTTTAACCCAACATTTCGGGTTTGTCCATATTTGACCCAAAATTGGGTTAAAACAACCCAGCATTTTTTAGAGTGTATAAACAATATAAATGTTAGCCAGAGGAGAACTGGCCCCCGACTGGGCCTGGGTTCTGCCAAGGTTTTTTTCTCCATCCAATCTGATGGAGTTTTGGTTCCTTGCCACTGTTGCCTAGCTTTTGGCTGGCTTAGTTGGGGATATTTAATATTTAACAATATTATTGATCTGTGTTGTGCTACTTTCATGTTATCACTGTGAAGCTGCTTTGATACAATCTGTATTGTGAAAAGCGCTATAGAAATTAATGTGACTTGACTTGACTAGGCTATCTATTGTAGAATTCGACCAACTTTACCTTACACGAGAGAATAAACAAAATAAACTAGGTGCTGATGATCTATATTCAACCCGAAAAGTTAAGGACTGCAGCTTTAAGTGCAACATTTTCAATATAGGCTATTTAAAAATCGCTACAATCATAAATTGTTTTGTTAATCAAAGAGCATTAAGAAAGTCGAAAATATGCTTTAAGATATTTATTGGTTGACAGAAGTTGAATCTGAGAAAGAGGAAAACAAACTAACCATTCTATTTTTCTGAAGTATAGCTATGAACTAATCAGACAAATGCTGCGACTCAAGAACAGCAAACAACAAACTACAGGTTAACTAAACACATTACAAAATAAAAATGTGCAGAACATTAAAGAAAGCTACTGTACAGCTCAGGTCTCTTATTTTTCCGGATCTTCTCAAAGTAAACACCAGAGATGTTTTTCATATTTGTGGTCTTGGTGGGTTCACTGAATAGAGCACAGTTTAGGTCACTTCTTATTCCAGTGCTCTTCAACACAAACACTTTCTCACACCAGAGATCTGGCTGATTAGCTCTCGTCTTGACCTCGGTGACATTAAACTTCTCAAATGGAGGAATCAGCACCTCTTCCTCTTTCTGTACCATAGAATATTTTGTCACATTAGCGCCTTCACATGTGCGGATTATAAAACAAGTTTTCGCTCCAAATTTTTCTGCCTGGTTTTGATTAAGAGAGGAAGATGTAAATGAGCCAAAACGAATGTTTGTGAAAGCATGCGCATTAAAGTCACGATTTGAACCACGAAAAGTATCAAAGCACCTGTTTTGTTTTTCCTTCAGAATATGTATCGCTTCTGTTAACAGAAAGTGAAGAGAATGCCATGTGTATGTCATGCTGTTTTGTTTGCCATTGCGAGTGTCACTATTGAATTGCTCATATACTTCATTCGCAGTGTACACGTAAAGGGCAATTTTATGTTTTTTTTCTAGTTTGCGGAAAAAGTTCCATTTACTGGTAACCCTTTCACCCTTTTTCCAAACATTTTTAAAACTGGGTGAGTTTTCAAATTCCTCCTCCAGATATTTAGCCTCCACCAGTTGTGACATGGTCTTTCTACAGCCGTAATACTGGTCATCAACAGAGTTTGTTGCCATATCCAATGTTATGCTGTCTTCAAAAGCAGCTCTGCGATCCTGCAGCAACAGAAATCAAAATGATCACCTCATCAGTATTAATGTCTGTAATATTCATACTGGAACACAAGCTTACCTGTCCTAGAGCAGCTACAATGAAAAGAGCTTCTATGATCAGCAGCATCTTGATTTAGTCAAATTCCTCCGATGCTAGTGAAGAACAGATTCTGTAAGACAACCAGAAACAAATTTCTATAATTCAAAATATAATGGACAGGAATATGTAGGCTACATACATCTGTAAAATTAAACTGTGCTCATCAACTTGTTACATATATATGCTACACTGTAAAAATGCATATGCTTTATCTAATCAATAGAATTGTGACAACAGATTACAAGCAACATTATTAATTAAACTTAACAAATTAGAATTGATTAAAAATTAATCAAATCATTCCTTAAAAGTTAACCATTTATAATGAGTAAAGTTTACACCCCAAAAAAATAACAAAAATATCTCACTAACAGACATACGTCAAAGATTAAGAACTCTTTATTTTATATTGCCAACTTTAAAGAAACCTGGCGTTAACAAGCAGAATCACTGAAGGAGAAAACCGTAATTTTAAAACAAATTTTTCATAAGAAAATTTTTCATATTTAAAAAAAAAAAATTAAAATAAGAAAATAATTAAATAAGTTAAATAAATTTAATAATTAAATAAGAAAATAAAAATAATAAGAAGAAAATAATAATTGTAACGTTTTTCATAAGAAAATTATGATATTTTAAACTTTTTAAACTGTAGACTAAGTTGTTTTTCAAATAAAGGTTTCCGAGTCAGTGATATTATACTTGGAAATCGGAATATGTATTTTTAATGTGTATTTGGATATATCTATTTTTTCTTGTACGCTGTAAATACATGTAAGAAGATGGTAAGAAGCACCATGAATTAACTTTTTTTATTACGTCAACAGGTTCCACATGTAACTTCAACATCATGCAATAATTCATTTTAAGTGACCCAATTAAACTCTGAGCAGAGTGAAATGCACACTGAAGCAAACTAAAACTAAACACACTGATCACCATAATGGTGACTTGCAAAATCCGTTTTTCTCCTTCAGTGATTCTGCTTGTCACCATCAGGTGTCTTCAATAATGATCAATCATCCCTTAATTATTCACTTAATTATCTCATTAACTTTAGCACAGCTTCAGTGTTCATCGCTTAAAATGACTATATTCCATTATGTTGCAGTTACACGAACAAATTATGTTTGTTTAACGTAACCCAGTTATGTGGAACCTGTTGTCATAAAAAAAGTTAATTCAAGCCAACATATAATTTTTTTGAGTAAAAATTCATATGGTACTTTCTGACATATAGAAGAAGTTGTAATCATATTTGATCACTTAAGCTTGTGATGTTCACAGATAGAAGTGTTATATTGACCTTGTACCTTAAACATAAACTTACCTGATAACAATGTTGTCTCTTTATGTCAAAGGAGAGGAGAAAATCAGAAGAGTAATTCGCTCCCAGCCGGACGACAGCGACTCTTGAAGATGAAGAAGATGCCCTTATGTGAGGCATCGGGTTCACTTAAATAGGTCATCTGTTTACTACTTCTGAAGATCTGGTAAATGTGGTTTCACACAAAACCTACACTAGAAAGTTCCTGTTTGTCTGAGATGAAGGACATTTTCCCCACCTGATCTCCTCAGATCGTGTAATAATGGTCAACCAAAAGTGCTGTGGAATTAAGATGAATTTGCAATGTAACTTTTGATAATTAAAGTACTTACATGTAAGTATAAGGGAACAATATGTAAAGTTTGGGGAATAAAGGGAAAACAACCATGAGAAATTAAGAATTATTTTTACTGAACTAAGGCGAACTTATTCTACTATTATGATACAACAATCTTACATTGTTCATGTTTTAAGGCAAATCAAGCTAAAAGGATAGCAGTTTTTTTTTAAATACTGGGAAATATACTCTTGTTCCATGTAGTGCTTATTACACTCTTGTTTTATGTTATAGGGTAAGTGTGACTCTACGGGCCGTAAATTAATGTGGTGCTTCTTACCATATTCTTCCGTGTATTTACAGGGTACAATAAAAATACATATCCAAATACACATTAAAAATACATATTCCGAGTCAGTGAAAATATATATCACTGACTTGGAAACCTTTATTTGAAAAACAACTTATGACAGTCTGAAGCGATAGTCTACAGTTTAAAATATCTTAATTTTTCTTACAAACACTTAGCGTTTCACAAGACATTGATCCATCCTTTGGGGTCATATGGATTACTACAGTTATTGCAGTTGTATGATGCACTAACTTTTAGAAACAAGTTGAAACTTGCATTAAGATATGTATTTTTTATTTTTCTAAAAACCTTCATTTGTGTTAATCTGAAGAAGGAAAAAAGGGTGGACAAAATGTGCTACATTCTGTCAAGACTTAAAATTTTGAAATAAATTGTTCTCATCCCAAGACGTCATATAACTGACGTTTTGGGACGTCTTTTGACCATACGTCAATATTCGCCTTTTTAGGGCCCCCTTAAACGTCGGTAGATGAGGTTATGGGATCCTAACTCTACCCCAGACCTAAACCTAACCCGTCACCTAACTGACGTTAAAGGTAAAGCGTCAGTTGTATGACGGCCCGGGATCGCCATCTACCGACGTTTAAGGGGGCCCTAAAAAGGCGGATATTGACGTATGGTTAAAAGACGTCCCAAGACGTCAGTTATATGACTTGTTGGGATGAGACTGTGTTAATTAAAAATAGCAGTTTTGGACAAAAAAAGTGCAGTAAATCTGTTTTGAATTGAGCTGTTTTTCAAATAAAGGTTATGTTAGATAGACAGTGATATTATATTGTGTGTATGTATTTTTATTGTACTTACCCAGTAATTACATGGAACAAGAGACTAACAAACAGCACTTTAATTTACAGCCCACAATGTCACACTTACCGTGTAACTACATGGAACAAGAGGCTAACAAGCACCGCCACATAAAACAAGAGTATCTTTCCCTAATATGTAAGCAAAAGTTGCAATAGGGTTCAGTGCACTTTGTTCTTTGTTAAAAAGATGACTAGAAATGCATAGATGTACCCTGTAATTATACAGGCTTGCTAAACTGCTCTCAAATGCAAAATTGTTGTGTCATAACAGTAGAATAAGTATATATTTTTCATTCTCCTGCTGTTACCCCTTTATTCCCCAAACTTTCCATTTTGTTCCCTTATACTTACATGTAAGTACTTTATAGGTACACTATAATTACCAAAAGTTACACTAAAATCGCTTTAATTACGCAGTACTTTCCGGGCTGTAATCTAAAGCGTTACCAATATGAGTAGTTGTTAATAATGATGGTTAAAAAAAACTTGGGCTTATTTTCAAGAAGCATTTCCAAACCTTTCTGCTACTTTACAAATCAGCTCAAACAAACCTGTTTGTTTTTCTGATTCAAATTTTCAGATCTGTGTTTATATAATGAATTAAATACAATTAATCTTGTAAATAATTTACTATAAATGAATCTTTTTCATTTATCAGATAGCTAGCAACAATTTGACTTCATGTGATGGGATGAACACTTAGAGACTCATCATTTCTCAGGTTTTAACAGAGCAATTAGTCATTTTGTAAAGCATCATGACCTTAGTAACACCATCCACAAAACCACAACCTTCACTCTTGTGAAAACCTCAAACACTCCAACATGACAGGGGCAGTTCAGCATGAATGATTAAGATGTGGGTGAAAACATTTCTAAGAAAAAAAAAAAATTAAGGTTTATTGAAAGAAATCAAATATTGATAATATGATGATCACTGCAGTGCAAGCGGCACTCAAAGGTCATTTAGCAGTAAATATAAGCTATTGCTGGCAGGTAGATATATAGAAAGCACTAAAATTGTTTAGCAATATGATGCAAAAAGATGTAAGTACAAATTAAGAAATGAATTGGAGACAAATAAAATAAAATTAAAAAAACACTGAATTGGTTCACTTAAAAATAACATTATTTCTTTAAATAATTATTGAACTGACACAAAAAAGAGCATGTTGGAACTCATCATGGAAATTCAAAGCACTTTGTTCAGCGCACACCATCCGAGGCGAGCTGGTACAAGACGTCACGTCAGGAAGATGTGGGACAGAGGTAAACATTCTTTGAAAATTAAAATTGGGTTGACGTCTAATGCCGAAGTTTGTTTGATGTCAAGCTCCAATGTTGGACAGACGTCAAAAGCTAATATTGATTCGATATTAAAACCTGATGTTGTCTTTACAACTCCATATTTGGGCAGACGTTGCATTGTGGTTAATTGGAATAAACACTATGATCACTCAGACCCCAACATTAGCTGTCAATTCCAACTTTAAAGGTATAGCGGAGGATCTTTCCGAATTTTAGAGAAGACCCGCCCTCTCCAATTTTTAAAAAAATGCACATGGACAAACACAACACTCTTGCTCCCGAGAGGGAACATCTATTACGCCTTAAACAATTATGTTGCAAATTATAAACTAACTCAAAAACATTCATTAAAAAGACAACATGTAAAATGCCCTTCCGTGTTTTATTTACTTATTATACTGATCGATTGAGTGACCGAGGACTCAAGACATGGTACCTTGTATCACACGAAATACGTTCTGAGGAAACTATTTTGCAAATCGCAATTACGTTACATGGCAACATATAGCCTAAGCAGTGCTATTACGTTGGTCCTTAACCTAATATGTCTCATTGTTAATACGTTATTTTTATACATAATTGCATATGTAATGGAGAAGTAGCTTGTTGCATTTGTGTAATAATAAACACACAAGGTTTTAGAATATGAACACATGAACACACAAGGTTTTAGAATATTTCAGGGTGATACCATTTATCATTTGGTCAAAAGGCTACTTTAGACAAATTGAGACGTTTACCGTGTCTATGCGGTGCATGACTTGTGCCAGGGCTAGCATTGCTAAGTAGCTTGCATTAACTTTTACTAGTGATTTTAAATGGATTTCTCCAAATAGCGTGACAAACTTTACCTGTCTAGTAGAATCTTCGCGACTGCGGCATCAGTGAGAAGCCCAACCTGTGCTTTTAGCGCACGCCAGCATGTGATATTCACCCAAAATCTCTCTGGTCTTGTTTCTATATTCTGTGGCCTTTCTCTTCTTATCATACACTTAGTAAACATTTTTTCTCTTTCGACCCTCAGCCATTTTCAAAGGAAAGGCTGAAACCGTAACTCCGACATAATACACCTGAAAGTGAAAACTACATAGGGATGAGCACGTACGACGGCCTTACGTAAACATATCACCAGAATGATTGACACTTAGGTGGACCAATAGTATAGACTACCCACCCGGAAAAAGAAAATCCTCCGCTATACCTTTAAAGAAAGATGAGTATATAGTCAGTATGGATTTTGTTGGCATGACACCAACATTTTAACCAAGCAGGCTTTTGATGCAAATGATAAAACAACAAACTGTGAAACTTGAATAGCACAGTCAGACAAATGGGAAGATCTACTGTCGCCATAGGTTTGTGTAGTTGCCACAGCACAGCCAATGAGCAGCTAGACGTTCTGCTGCACTGCCTTTTACAATAATGGCTTCAATATTCTCGAGAAAAGGAGTTTTCCCACAGCATATAGTTACTCAATACTCAATGCTAACCAAGGTTAAGTCTGTAACCGAGTACGTTTTCAAATGAGACTCAAAGCAACACTTAGTAAGATTTTTTTTTTTTTTTACCTTAAAACAATGTTTCCAAAATCGTTCCAGTGGTTCATTAAGTTGTAACAGGGTGAAAGGTATTTCTGGATCCACTTTGCGGTCCTTTATCTGCTATGACCACGAAATGTAAGATTGCCAGATCGGGTCGCGTTTCTGTAGTTCTAATGGGACTTATTAAGAAAACCACAAATTTGACTTGTTTACGTCAAGCGTTACAATAGTCATTATTTTGTTTTTCTTTGTTTCTGATGTCGCAATACATCATACTTTCATGAAATCATGCATCATACTCGACCTTGTCAGTGGACATCATTCATTCCAAAGCCGGTTCTGGATAAACAGCGAGTGTGCGTGCAGCAGTAAGGTAAATTATTTACAGCGGAAATGTACAATTCCTCTTCCAACCTGTAGGGTGACCGCAGAGGAAAAGTTACTTGGTGTTGCAATAAATTGGAAGAGGAAGACTGTTGCTGCGTCCCAATTCGCATACTATCCGTCCTAAATAGTAGGCTATTCGAAAACAGAATTAGTAGCCTACGTCCCAAATCGTAGTATGTTGAAATGAGTGTTTCAAAGATACCCGGATGGTCTACTTTTTCCGGTCAGAATCCGAAGTGTAGATCGATGCACACTCTAACGGCTGATATTGACCACAAACCATTGCGCGTTGGACGAGGATTCGGTTAGAACTACAAACACGAGTAAAAAGTGTTAAAAAACTACAGACACGTAGTCGATACGGAGGACGCGCGAGTCCCCGCGGTTGTGTAGAGAGGTTTAGATAAAGAGCTTTGAGTGATTAATTATCAGTATCTGACCTGACGAAAATGAATTTATTCAATGTTGTCCACATTATATTGCATTTGCAGCAGCATTGTGAACTTTTGTAAAGACAGCCATTACGTTTTAAATGCATCATTATATTCAAATTGCAAACACGAGGAGAGCATGAAAGACCCACAACTGGCAGATGAACGTGCTCTCCGAAACGGTAGGAAATCACATTAGATAGAATGGAGGATTTTAACTGTGACAAGATGATTGACAGGGCAGTTTACAGTGACAGGATGCACGCAGCACGCGACAGAGCTGTCCGTTAAAGATTACGTGATAGTATGTCCCAAAGCTTGCCTACTCTTTTGCTACACACTCAAAAGTATGTACTTTTTCTTCACAAAAAGAGTACATACTTTTAGGGCGTAGTATAAGTAAGCGAATTGGGACGCAGCATGTTCCACAACTTGGGAGCCACAACTGAAAAAGCTCGGTCACCCTTTGACTTATTTTTAGAATAAGGGACAGGCTGCAAAAATTGGTTTGTTGATCTTCATGTCCTACCTGATACGTAAGATCCTAAAAGCTCAGCAATGTAATTTGGGGACATGTTATGCAGTGCTTTAAAAACTATTAATAAAATCTTATAATCGATACTGAACCGGCAGCCAAAGAAGAGAGGATAATACTGGAGCAATTACTGTGGTCCCTTCTTTATTTATATATTTACATTTATTCATTTAGCTGACGCTTTTACCCAAAGCGACTTACAATAGCTATATATGTCAGAGGTCGCACTCCTCTGGAGCAACTGGGTTAAGTGTCTTGCTATATATACGTTTCGCTGCATGTTCATGACTCAGTGCTTGAACAAATTCCGACTATGTGTTACCATAATTTTCCTTCACATCACTTTTTCTCCTTTTCCATCTCCAAACCTGTTCTGCTCACAGGTGACTGGAGGACAGTGCGCGCCCTTGTTGCAATTTTATGACTTTTGTAACAACATGTTAAGAGTGGTTTTCCTGTTTAACATTTTGCAGGCTCATTTATTGCTAATAAATAATTACTAATTAATAATGATTTATGATACTAAATAATATAATAATATTGCACTTGTTTTTGAAGCTGCGGTTGATTATTTGTCTTGTGAGACTGGACAACAGTCAATGACTCACATGTGTGAAAACATCAGAAAGAGGTGTAAAAAACCACTTAAGTTTAAGTGTGAAAAAAACCCTGCGAATATCACCTTACGGCCTGTCCCACACAGGAAAGGTCTGCATCTGTGGGTGCATCTGCATCGAGTTTGTCCACTGTTTGTTTAAATGTTGAAAAAGTGTGTGATATTGAGTGTGCTGTGTGTGTCAAGTCAAGTATATTTATATAGCGCTTTTCACAATACAGATTGTATCAAAGCTGCTTCACAGTATCAATCAAAACAACTTAACTGTGTTTATTTATTACTGGAAAAAAAGACATCCAAGTTTGGTAGAGCTGATCAATGAGTGACATTAACACTCAACTCTTTGAATGAACATAAAAAAAAAACATGGAAAGGAATTCCACATGATTAACTTGCTTTATTTCAGCATTATGCAATAATGTTATTCCAATTTAATACTAATGTTGGGTCAACATAATTCATTAAGGTTGATTCAACTTATTTACCATGGTTTGGCACAGCTTAATTAAATAGTGTCCGTGAATTTAGAAAGGCTCCCTTATATGATTCAGGTATTCAAATTCATAAATTCATTCATCCAATGCTATATAATTTAATTTAGTGTCATAATCAATTTTTAGACTATAGTCATCTATTAGCTACTAATAGCACTTTTAAGCATCTTAAATAATAAGATTCACTTGCTTTATCTGCCAATGATGTAAATAATTCTGAATCAGTCTTCAACCTAACCAAATGGTTTATTGCTGAACCATTTAAATTACAGTGGGTTACCATTGTGGAGAAGAGCCACAATGGTAACCCACTGTAATTTAAATGGTTCAATCATTACAATGTAGTTTAACATTAAACACAATTACGCACTACCAATTCTTCCCCTTTTCTTATTTTTTTAATAACGCATAAAATAACACTTAATTTTAACATGCATTTTCTCTTAATTCAACCATATCCAAAGCAACTAACAACTGGAACTAACAAGCACCACCCAGTTTCAATTAATGCAACAAAAATCGATCATAAGCAAACACAAACAGATTAAGTAATCTTAAATTTTACATATATTTAAGCAGATTGAACACAATCAAATTAAGTTTGGGCAAAAAGGCAGTTGACTCGCACACTATATGCCACCCGCTGGATGTAAGAATTTTCCACAATTTTCGCTTTTCCACTGCATAGTACGGTACAATTCGGTACGTCTCACTGGTGCTTTTCCACTGCATGGTACGGTACAGTACGGTTCGCTTCAGGTCGCTTTAAATGGTACCTGGTCTGTTGAGGTTCCAAGCGTACCATACCGGTACTAAAATGTGACGTGGAACACTGCAGATCACTGATTGGTCAGACAGAATCGTCACTACCAGCGTCACTACTAGCGTCATTGGATTTGCGACACGAGACACTTTTTTAGCAGTATTTTTGTTTTGCTGCCATCAGCCTCATTTTAAACACATTTTTCCATCTCGCAGTTAAAAACAACCACATACCGAGAATCAGGAACATCATCCCCTCGATAGTCTCCATTGTTCCCGAGTTGTGGGTTTGAAAATGTGGCGCTTTTAAGATGATGTCATGGCAGTAGAGGCGCGCGCAAATAACGGTCCCACACACTTTGAAGGGGTACTACTGCAGTGGAAACGAAAAGCGATCCGAACTGTTCCGCGCCGAGTCGAAGCGTACTGAGCCGAACCGTACCGTACTATGCAGTGGAAAAGCGCCACATTCAAAAAAAAAAAAAAAAAAACCCATTCAAAACACAATTATTATAATAAAGCTAAATATAAATATATTATGTAAAGTGCACAACCTTCCTAGTTAATTTTTTTGACTGGGTGTTGGGTGTTAAATGTGTTGTATTAATCATTTATCTAAAGTACTAATTGAGCTGGCTGTGTTGTATGTGCCATTACGTGTGTTGAACAAATATTTTTTTTATTGTGTTTGTTGCCTCTTTAAAGGGGAAATGAAGCAGTCAATTAAGTTTACATGATTTACAAGATGGATTTCCATTATAATCAACAATTATATAAAAACACGACAAATGTAAACAAATAAAAGAAAAAACGTTATATCTTTCGCCGCCAGGGCGACGGCCATTGTGCAGTATTCTAACAAGTGACGTCACAGGGTTGGTTGGCTTTAGTTTAACAGGCTCTGGGCAGTGAATATCAGCATGGTAAACGTGCGCGCCATGGTGATGCAGAATTGACCATGCAATACATGCTCAAGATCAACCCCTTGACAGCAGATGGACTGACACGGTGGGCATCGCAATACAACAGCCACACTGACACCTGGTGGCGCTGCGAACCCGCTCTTCGCCCCCAAACCACCACCGGCTGTTCTACATAGCAACGTAACTTACATGGTTTTGACGAGACGGGAATTTGATGGCAGACATTGTGAACAATGTTTCTACGTGCTGCAACGTGCAGTTTGTCAACATAGAACATTAGACATCATCTTCTTGTCTGGTACTAATAAACTGACTGTTGTTCGCGGTCAAAACACTGTGGTGTAAACAGTTTGATGTTGGGATATTCACTGCCCAGAGCCTGTTAAACTAAAGCCAACCAACCCCTTTAAGATTAAACACTTGCATTCCTCAATAATAAGTTGATCTGGATAAAAGCGTCAGCTAAATTAAATGTAAATTTGTGTTGACAAAATAGTTCTCAACTTTTGGGAGTATAATTTTTTTTTATTTATTCGTACAATTTTTTAACAATTTCTTGGGCCGTTTGGTAAGGAAAAAGTTGCTTATAACAGGATTTACAAACATGTTTAACCCTAGAAGAAAAACAAACTGTAACAAAAACGTATATATGATTAAAAGATCATGATTTGTTTTATTTGTGACAATATGTTTACAGTATCATTTTGAACTAAAACAATTGTCATTTTAATCATGACTGAAAAGAAATCAAGAATTCAAAAAAAAGAAAGATCTTGAAAGAGATCATGAATTTGATCTGAGATGCAATTGTCTTTTGAAACCAAGAACTAACACGGAGAGATTTACTGAGAAAGCCAACAATTTCAAAGGAAAAGCATGACATTTCAGAGGCTGCAGAGATGAAACAGACTGAATCAACTTATACTATTAAACAAATATTCATTCACTAATTTGTACTTTTTCTAATTTATGAATTCACTAATCAATCACTTTCAGTTTTTTAGTCCCATATTAAAAGTAGTGCACATGATCATGACAAAAACAGGTGCCTTCACATCTGCCTAGAGGATATGCTCACTTGACTACTCAGCCTAGAGTTTTTTTTGCGATTTCCATGCTTTTGCTGCCAAAACATTTAAATACAATTAAACATCATGAAAACCCTTCACCTTAATTAAAAGCATACATATAAAGTGCCTGGGAAAAGTATTTTTTTTTCTTTCTTTTTTTTAAATAAATTGATGCATACAAATTTTTCCAATCATTTTTATTGCATATTCATCTGCTCTAAATGTATGAGGTGTTTCTGAATAGATAATAAAGAAAAAAAAAAGAAAAAAAAATGTAAATATTTTACTTGCATAAGTATTTAAACCCTTCATTTTAATATTCAATCTAGCCTCCTTTTGCTGTACTAAGATGAATGGGTTGACTTTAATGACAAAGTAATATTTTCCCATTTTGCTCAGCAGATTTGCTCAATGATTTTCAGGTTGGTTATAGACCAACATTTGGACCTCCAGAGCAGAGGAGTAGCATTTTTTGCAGAACAAACGTTTTATATTTTTAATTTATTAAACGCAATGTCACTTTTCAGAGTTTCACACAAAACAAAAGTTAATATATATATATATATATATATATATATATATATATATAGTAAACTTCTCAAGGGTCTAAATACTTACAAAAGTCACTACATATAAAATGTGTATAACAAAATAAATGTTTATTAATAAATGGTTTATTTTTAAACATTAGGCTTAGATTTGCATTTGGGAACATACAAATCAAATGCTCATGCAATGCCTTTGGCCTTTAACTCATCTTTAACTCTCTTCAGGTAGCCAGGGTCTGGATAACCATAACTGTTGTCAGAAAAGAAAATAGATAAACAAGTTATATAAATAAACGGATGTTTTTATATGAAACCCAAAAATGTAAGGTTTGATTAGTGGTTTTGCAGAACATGATGGAAAACTGAAAGCAGACTTTAAATATACTCATACCTTTCAGGCCCACCGTATCTACTGGTCTTATGGTGAATATCATTCCAGGTGACCATATTATCTGCACCCGTAGTTGTAGATCTCCCGACAGTAAAGATCAGTTTCTGTTTGAAAGCCTTCTCCAGCAGTATGAGCACTTCTCTTCCTTCAGGATTGTCTGGCAAGTATGCTTGACGATGTGCCCCATGATAACGTTTTCCTGGGTTTGCATGCTTCTCCTGAAAATGATTTCAAAAAGATGTATTACTGTACCCACAACATTTATCAAAACTACGTAAAAATAGAAAAGGATCTACAAGAAGGTCATGGATATCATAGAGGATTCTGGTTTATAAATAAGAGCTAATTAAGTGTAGAAGCTATTTATACTTTCTAATGAGTGTTTGTTTCTTCATTGTTTTTCTGCAGTTCATGAGGTTCCTCAACATCAATCCTTCAGCTATAGGGCCACTGTCCTCCACTTGCCTGGATGTTTTTAGTTATCCTGAAGACCTTGATTATCTGGTTTAGGTGTTTAATGAGCATTGGAGTTTAACTCTGTAGGACAGCGGCCCTTCTTTAGGGGTGTCGCGTATAAAACTTCATCCTAAAAGATTGTGCGTACATCCATCTCAACCCCATCTCCTTTCTGAATATGCTCCATATATGGAGCTTACGACACCTCATTTTCCTATGCATAACGTCATCTGCATATAATTTTCATAAGCATATTCCCATCCACGTGATACCATGTTTAACAGTAGGCTACAAGACATTAGGAAAATATGAGATACAGACTATAAATGCAAGTAGTGCAATCATATATTGCATTGTCTTGTTTTAAAATAAATACTAGATTTAAAATGTGCCGCTTATTTATTTTATAACTCCCCATATGCGCAGTGGTGGAGGAAGTACTGAATCTCAGTACTTAAGTAAAAGTACAAATAACCAGATAAATATTTACTTCAGTAAAAGTAGAAGTAACACAATGACAACCATACTTAAGTAAAAAGTACCTGATTTTAAATGTACTTTAAGTATTAAAAGTAAAAGTACTTGCATAACAATTGATTCTCTTAATGACTGTTTTCTAATGATTAATAAAACATTTAATTCTAACTCATTCACCTTAATACTCCTATAATGATGGAAAAAAAATGTTGTCACTTTTTCTGAAACAAGTTTGCAATTAGCCAATATAAACCATGCCTATCCTTACTGTTTGTTAATAACTATGTTTGGCAGTAAACGCGATTCATTTATGGTGTAATTCTGAACCTCTCGGCTTGCCATAATCCTAACCAAACGTATTTACACACGGTGCGTTTCCTATGCACGTAAAAACAAATTTTCGCGTATAAATTGCTCGATAAACACACCGTGTGCGAGACGCATTTAGTTGATGTATCTATGGCAACCAAACGTCACTGGTGAGACAAACGTGCAACGAACGGACGATCAGATTACATTTTGGCAGGGGAAAATGTAATGAAAATATAACAGAAGTTGTAGAAATGTAGTGGAGTAGAAAGTAGAATAATTGCTGCAAAATGTAACGAAGTAAAAGTAAAAAGTATGCACTATTTATTCTACTTAAGTATATTTTTCACGTATCTTTACTTTACTTAAGTAAAGTAATGAAGTATTTGTACTTCGTTACATTCCACCACTGCATATGCGAGTGTAAAATTGCCAGGTCTGGAATGGTTTATTGGGAGCACAGTCTATAGACCTTCTGCTGAGTGCTTGAACAAGTCAATCGCAAGTCAGTTTTACATGTTCTTACCGTTTGAACACCATCAGGTATGTCATAGTAGATTTCAATAGTGCCACAATCTGGATATCCAGGGAGTCTCATTCCGGTCTTTGTTACTTTCATGTTTCCATTCGGTTGGTTCCCCTCCAATTTTCCATACACTTCCTTACACACAGGACAGATGAGTCCCATTCTCTTCTCTGACTCACTTATACAATCCCGACAGAATTCATGCCCGCATTTCAGTTTTTTCTTGTCGGTAAAGCTGTCCATACAAATGACACACGTCTCCTCTTCAGCCTGAGCGTCTTTACTGTTATGTCTAGAATTGTCTTTTAATTCTTCATTGAATCCAGTGTCTGCCTCACTTTGTCTTCTAAAATTCACTCCCTCTTCCCGTACTGATCCTCCCACGGCTCCTAGTCCGTAATCAGGCATCTGATACCATTGGATTCCTCTTGCATGAGGAACGTTCCCTGAGTAACCAATCGATTTCTTCTTCTTGTCATCAAACACACTCTTCTGAAGTCTCTTCTCGATTTCAGCAATGGCAGGACCGAGATGTTCTGGCAGTCCAACGAGCCTCCAGCCACTCGAAGCATCTTCTGCAACAACACAATGAAGCTCCTGCTGAAGTTTCTCTACTGCTGATGCCACAAGAGTTGCGTCTCTAGGGTTTTTGAGTTCACAGGTGACAGCGGCGGATGCAAGTTTCTGGTAGAGTTGTGTTAAAGCTCTGATGGCATGACTTTCAAGATTATTATGTTGAACTCCTTTGGATCGAGCTTGAACTTTAATGGTTGAATTTTTCTGCTGTTTTTCTTCATTAAATGACACTCCGTACTTTGTTTCAAGCTGTGATAATTTCTCCTTATAGGAAAGTTTCATCAGCTCCCAATGAACCGTGTCCATCTCTAGATGAGTTGGAAGATCCTTTGTGTCCATGTTAAAGGAAGACCTGCTTTGTGGAGAAAAAAAGTCTTTATTCATTTGGCTTGATTTGTCATTGAATTGGCTTTCCACTCTTGTTCCTTCAAACTCTCTTTTAATCACGTCTGTAAGTTTCTTCGGTCCAAAGAACAGGCAGTCACTGGCAGACATGGTGAACATCATCTTTGCCTCCTCCGACTGGATGTGATGAAGGGCCTGCTTCACAATATCTGAATCCATTTGATCATGGTTAATGGAAGCGTGACTAAAATTATCAACACATCCCTGAACAAGTTTGTAAAAGTCATCAGTGGCTTTAGACACAGAATCAGGGCTTGGGCTCTTGGTGGGTTTGATTGAGACTGACACTTCTGCACAAATAGAGACTCCATACTGTTTCTCAATTTGCTCCATCTCCTTCCTGTAAGCGTGATGCATGTACCAGAACTGATAGAGGGGCACAGTGGAAGTTGCTGAACTGTTAGTTGCAGCACCTTCTGATGGTCCAGCGCTGTTCACCTAAAACATTTAATGGGATTTGATTTAATCTGCCCACAGTGACATTTAAAATAACTCAATTAAAATGGCAAACTATTGTTACATGTCATAAATGATGAGTTCTCCTGGTGTGAGTTTTGTTCAACGGGAAGAAAAAACAGTAGAAGTAGAAAAAAATCTAAATGGGTGATTTCTTTATTTTTATCAATACGTACACATTTTCATGTTTAGAGGGTGGCAAGTTTCAGCTATAGAAGGACACAGCATCCGGTTGCAAACATGTTTGATAGGATTTGGGATCGTGTGGGCCCCGACATGATTGGGAGCAGTAAAATAATCATAATGAAATCACACAATTGAGGATTTTTTGGACAAAAAGTCGTTTGCGACATGCATCAATTTAGGCCATGCCCCCTGATCGCTTCGGGTGAAAATTGGACTAAAAATCTTCAAGTGTCTGGCCAGTCTCAGCAGAATAAGTTAAATAATTCAACAACATTTACGTAACACTTTACTCATATGGAAACTGTAATTCTAGTAAAACGCCATAGAAGCTTGCACTGTCTTTTAGAGTCTGCACAGATGTTGCTCAATCGGAAAGTTGAAGGATTAGTTCACTTTTACTGATAATTTACTCACCCCCATGTCATCCAAAATATCCATGTGTTACTTTCTTCAGTCGAAAAGAAATTAAGGTTTTTAATGAAAACGTTCCAGCATTTTTCTCCATATAATGGACTTCAGTGGGAACCAAACGGTTCAAGTTCCAAAAGAAACTTTCAGTACGAACTGCAAACTTGTTCAAAGGGCTTTAAACGATTCCAGACGATAAATAAAGGTCTTATCAAGCGAAATGATCGCTCATTTTAAAATAACAAAGTTTAAGTTTTATAAGATCAAACGCTTGCCTTGCTCTGTTCTGTGGTGCACGTTCGTGACTCTCCTGTTCGAACTCGTTCAACAAAATGAAAAAATCTTTTTCCGAATCAATTAGTTTGTTTCTTTCGCCGAATGAACCAAATGACTCGGAAAAAGATTTGTTCATTTTGATGAACGAGTTCGAACAGGAGTGCGTTACAGAACAGAGCAAGGCGAGCGTTTGAGCTTATAAAACGCAAACTTTGTTATTTATTTATAAAACGAGTGATCGTTTCGCTTGATAAGACCCTTATTCATCGTCTGGAATCGTTTAAAGCCCTTTGAACAAGTTTGCAGTTTGTACTTAGTTTCTTTTGGACCTTGAACCGTCTGGTTCCCATTGAAGTCCATTATATGGAGAAAAATCCTGGAATGTTTTCATCAAAAACCTTCATTTCTTTTCGACTGAAGAAAGAATGACATGGACATCTTGGATGACATGGGGGTGAGTAAATTATCAGCAAAAGTTCTCTCAAAAGTAAACTACTCCTTTAAATACACGCATCATAACTTATTGATACAAATAATGCGGACTGCTACATGGTAAACTTTGAATTTTAAAACAATATAGTGCAATTTAGTAACAGAGGCTTGTATTAATATTTATTGTAATGCTCAATCGAATTCATTCCTTCAACTAAACAAGGATATATGTTCATTAATAAATGTGTTAGGTCAGTTACCGGTGTCAGAAGTAGGGGTGTAATGATGCACGTATTCGTATTGAACCGTTCGGTACGAGGCTTTCGGTTCGGTTTTCGGTACACATTTTTAAACCAAACAGTTCATTAGACCATTTTTCCAGCTGACCAAAATTTTGTTATTTCAAATGTAGGCACGTCAAGCGTGGCAGGCGCTCTCATACTGTAAGAGACGCTGGCGCGACCACAACGTTGCCCAACATCAAATGGCAAATGTAATGTAAGGAACGAAACCAAGCTACTTGTTATTGTGTGGTTGAAGGACCGTTTATCAGGACCAATGCAGCGTGAGCCAATCTTAATCAGTGAAATCCAGTAAAGAACAAATTTGAATTCACCACTGAAGTAATAACATCACTGCGAGATCTAGTGAGAAACAGAAACATTCACGTGGAAACCAGGAAGAAACTTTGTGCCATGAATGAACGATTCAGTGTCCACAGATCAGCAACATTCACCGTGGGTTAACTGCAGTAACACTAACTGTAACCAAGGAAGTTTGCCAGGAATAGAAGGCTATGATGCTTTCAAGTAACATTACGTCAGTTTTATTTGGATATTATGAATACAAATGTTAATCTGAACTAAAATAAACCTTTGTTTGTAACTACTACAATATTACATTTCATTTTGTCCAAGGAGCGGTTTTGTTTAATATGCTCCAAAGAAAAGTCAAGTATAGCTCCATCATTTCTCAAAGTAATAAAAATATCATAATTTATGATGTTAGTTTTCATAAAAATATTGTAAAGGAAATTTATCTGGCATTTCTTTCTTTTTGCTTTATCGATAACGTACCGAACCGTGACACAAGTGTATCGTATCAAACACAGTCACACCGCTAGTCAGAAGTGTGCTGAAGACATACACATTAATGATTTCACTATACTGTATGTGACGCATCCTCTCCGAAAAGACCATGAACAATTACAAACAACATCTGAAGTAACAATTCATTTACATAAATCGTAAAACTAATTCTGTGAAACTTAAACGCTGCAAATCGGGGGATTTAAGGTCAGTGTTTTGGCTGAAAATGAATGATGCCCTCAGTCGGTAGGGAATAGTAGATGGCCGCTCGAAAACTTCGCATATATTATAATAGTAATAATTATTATTATTATATATAATAATTTCTAATAATTATACTAATAATTAATCATTTCATTTCACAGTATGCCCAGAACTCTAAAATTTCAATACTAATATTTATGCTGTTAGTGTTGTTAAAATGTTTTTGTTGTTAGCATAGACAGAACATGACAATGAGCTGAGTGTGCCCTTTTTCCATAATTCTAGATTAAGTAAGCATGATACCTGTGGTGGTGATTCTCTGCTCTCGTTCAGCATGGAGGGGTTTTGTTGTCCAGTCACAGAATCTGTATTACCTTGACCGATCCATGCAGTTGCTTCCTTTTTCTCATGTTTAAAGGTCAAAGGTATAGACTTGAACTTTTTTATTTCTTCCAGAGCTACAGAGGAACATAAGAGTACATTGAATGCAGTATTAAAAACAACAATTTGACAAAAAAGAATATTTAATGAAAAACATTAACTTGACTACTTATACTATGACATATGAACTAAAAAAGAATGCATATTAAAGGAGTAGTTCACTTTTAAAAAAAAACTTTTGCTGATAATTTACTCACCCCCATCTGTCATTCAAGATATTGTCATGTCATTCTTTCTTCAAAACTTAAACTTGTTTTTTTTTTTTTTTTTTTAAATGAGCGATTGTTTCGCTTAAGACCCCTATTCATCGTCTGGAATCGTTTAAAGCCCTTTGAACAGTTTGCACTGAAACTGTTTTTTGGACCTTGAACCGTTTGGTTCCCAGTCCATTATATAGAGAAAAATGCTGTAATGTTACTTTTCATCAAAAACCTTAATTTCTTTTCGACCGAAGAAAGAAAGACATGGATATCTTGGATGACATGGGGGTGAGTAAATTATCAGCAAAAGTTATTTTTTTAAAGTGAACTACTCCTTTAACAAAACTAATGAAGCAGTACAAGATAACTAAGACCACTCAACTTAGATTTGCACAACAATATACATGATTTGTGATTAATTTAGAAATGTAGCACTTGAGTTTTTAGCTCACACTATTTTACCAACTGCAAATGTGTGAATTTTGATGTTGGCAATTATGTATTGCAGTGTATATTTTTGAGAACATTTGATATTGTTAACTCTATTAAATGCAAAAAAAAACCTGACTGGAGAGCCTGGTCTCATCGTTAATACCCATGTATTAATACGCAACATTTACAGGTACAAAACGTACATTCGAATCCTTTTACCGGCACGCAATGGGTCGTGGGTGATATTAGCCGTTGATTTTGCATAGATCAACGCTTCGGAGTAGTTAAGCCTCTCCTTCATTCACATCCATTAAAAAACGCCCTCTGGTCTGCTTCCCTGTGTACCGCAGTGTTGGCAGACGTTACACTATTTTTGAGGTTGCAGGCTTCACTAAGGTTGCAGGCTTTCTTTAAAGAGACTTTCGCAATTTTTTAATTTATAACGAGTGTGGGATTTGACGGTCGCTGCTGACAATAGAAGTGAAGATTGCCTGATAAATTGCCATGACAGTGTTTCCCCTAGAATTTTTTATTTTTTTTGTAGCGGAGCGGGTGTGTTACAGATACGTGGTGTAAATCAAAAACGTATTTTTAGCAATCAAAAAAACATGTCTAATTAATTGAAATCATGTATTATGAATCACTAAACTTATACAAAATTTATATATATATATACTGTATATATATATAAATTCACACTAATTCTGTGTTGCATTTTTTTGGTAATAAAATGAAGACATGAAACAAATATTTTATCATTCATTTATCATCAAATTTAATCATAGAAAATTAAACTTTTTGTCAAATAACGTACTGCACAATGACCGTATTTTTACTGTACAACAGTAATATATTTCTGTCAAGTTAAACAGAAATTTTATTTTGACGGGTTGCCGTGAAGACCTTTTGAGTTTGTCATGATGACAGTTTTTCTCAAATGAAGCGGTTAAATGATCAAGAAGTGACTTTCAAACTGGATCTAGAGCCTGGAAAGGAAGTTCATGCATTCATGTCCTCATTTAGGCAAAAAAACAGCGCAAGCGTCACACGTGCTTCAGTGTGTGTGTGTGTGTGTGGTAAATGAAATGCTGCACCATTCAATCACACAGAACATGCAAGATTCGTATTTAAATAGTCTTTGTGTTTTAGGGGGGGCCCTCAAAACAATGGTAGGGGTAACGGTAATGGTAACGTGAACTGCATCTCATCCTTTGGTTTGGATGCTAATATACTTATTATTATTAGTCATAGTTATTGTTAGAGTCATCACTTTTTGGTACGCAACAGCCTTAAACAGTTGTTGTCATTCATAACTTTGAAAAGTGTTATTTGACTAAATGCATTAATCATTATTTCTAAGGATGTTATCTGTAATTGCTAGTATTTGAGATGCTAGCATCCATGAGATCTGAACTGAAAAGGTATTAAAGCGAGTTATCATAAATCATAATATCACCTGCTGATGGCGTTATCTGCACCTCTGCACAGGACACATCATCCATGAGTTTAATGAGGTGGACAGATGCTTGTCCTTTCAGCTCCTTTAACAACCAGCTCTGAACGGCTCTCTGTAATGTTACTTTCCATCTCTCTGGAAATGGTCCTCTCCAGTCCACTTTGATTGTAAATTTAGCAACATCCACTGGTGCTGAAGGTTGTGATTCCTCCCCAACTTTACTATTGTCCTGTTATAGGGAAAATAGTTATGAAATCAGGGTTAAATTTGAAAAGAAACTTAAGTAGAGTTTATGAACTATTTTATGTTAAAGAATAGTAAATTCAAAAGATAAACTTCACCATAGCATTAGTACTTAATGTTTTCATATTTGATATTCTTTATATCCTAAGCACATTTCATTTTGTAAATTAGTTTTGAATTGAACAGCTGGCTGCAATAAAGAAATAAAGTACATTTAAATCAGTCCATGATAATTTAATAATGAATGACTATAAACTACTCTTCAGTCAGTACCTCTTCTGTCTGCGATTCTGAACTGTATGATCGAACCATATGTCCATGAGTATGTCCATCGTATGTCCATTGAGCCGAGCTTGGTTTCTTCATGTCACCCTGAGTCGCTCCGAAGTCTAGTCCTTCGGCTCCTGATGTGTGTGAGCTCTAAAATTCAGAAAAAAAAACTACATGAAACACCATGTTAAAAATAATATAAATGCTAACAATAGTTTCAATATTAACATTAGTAAACTACTTTAGTTAACATGAACTGTGAATGAACAATACTTTTACAGCATTTATTAATTTCAGTTTGTTCATTTCAACGTTTACTAATACATTATTAAAATCAATTTGTTAACATTAGTTAATGAACTGTGAACTATCATGAAAAGCTGTATTTCTATTGATTGATATTAACAACACTTAATAAATACTGTAGTAAATGTATTTCTCGAATTCACCGATTGATCGGTGCATCGGTAAAATAATTGCCCAAGTCATTTGCAAATGTGACCAAGCTGTTATTCCCCCTCCCGCCACATGAGGGAGTACGATTAGGGTTTGATGTACAGTTATTGGTTGCCTGACCTTTTCCTGTTAGTTTAGATTTGTGATTCTTGCCTTCTGTTTGGATTTGACCATCTGTGAAGTGGATTCTGCTACTTGAGAACAGCAATCATCATAGTTTACTACATCGTTTCATAAGCATTCTCTCAATCAACTTCATCCAGACACGGGGATGAGAGAAGCATCATCTGTCGAGAGGAAGATCCTGACTAAAAAATTCCTATTTACTCTCCCCCACCTCATCCAAGATATTCATGTCTTTCTTTCTTTCATCAATTGAAAAGAAATGAGGAAAACATTCCAGTATTTTTCTCCATATAGTGACTTCAATGGGGTCCAACAGGTCGAAAGTCCAAATGTGAGTTTCAGTGCAGCTTAAAAAGTCTCGACACGATCCCAGCGAAAGGAATAAGAGTCTGATCTAGACAAACCATCCGTCATTTTCAAGAAAAAATCAAAATGTATATACTTTTTAACCACAAGTGCTCGTCATGCACTAGCTCTGCGATACATAATCAGGTTGAAAGGTCAAGCTTGACATAGGCGAAAGTATAAACCTAGTGTTTACAAAGCGAACGTGTATAGACTTAGTCAAATGCCCTTTATAAAAAATAAAAGATAAAACAACGTACAATTACCCTACCCTACAGTTTTTGAACCGGAACATGCGTAATCTTTCATGAAGATGTGGACGTGCAAGACGGACATTAGTGGTTAAAATGTCGTTGTTGTTTTTTTAAATGACCGATGATTTGTCTAGATAAAACTCTTATTCCTCGGCTGGGATCGTGTCGAGACTTTGAAGCTGCACTGAAACTCACATCTGGAGCTTCGACCCGTTGAACCCCATTAAAGTCACTATATGGAGAAAAATACTGGATGTTTTTCTCAAAAACCTTTCGACTAAAGAAATACAAACTTCTTGGGTGATGTGGGGCAGAGTGAATTATCAGAAACTTTTATATATCAGTTCAGTTTAATTCTGAAGTGAACTAATCCTTTAATACTACACTTACTGTCCCATCAAATAACCGTCTGTGGAACCGCAATGGCCAGTAGTGTTGAGGTTCTGCCTATTTTGGCATGAACTGGATGCACAATACATACAGTACTATAGCAGCCTATCGCAAGAGACTGACTCTCTTTTCTATCGACTGATAGGTTGACATGCGATGATATCAGCAGTGTGTTTATTGTGATGGAAAACAAATCCCTCTTCCCACAATTACCTATTTATTCCAATGGGGGCAAAATGATTTGGGTGTGTTTGATAAGAAACACGAGTCTTAAAATCTTATAAATAAAAAATATTTCTATTCCACCAACCAAGCAAAAAGAATACTGTGAAATTACACTAAACTACAAGACTCTAAATTGGACTAAAATATGAGCTAGAGGTGATAAACTGTATATTTCGGTTATATTCACCTTATCATTAAAGAACTGACCATCTCTGGTTGATGATGGTGGGGTCTGCTGAATTGAAACATGTTTTAATATCAATACAACAAATGTTCTCAGTGACTGCAAAAAATCTAACAAACATTCTCAATTTGTCATGAATGCGTTTTGCTATTTAATGGGACTCATTATCTATGGGTCAATTTATGTTCTTTAGTTAGTACCTCATTTCTCTGCGAGTCTGAACGCGGTTTTTGATCCGTTGTGTTCATCGAGTTTGTAGACTTCATGTCATCCGGAGTTGGTCTCGAGTCTTGATCTCCAGCGCCTGCTGTATTTAAGTCCTAACATTCAGGGGAAAAAAAAAACACAATTAATTATTATTATTTTTTTAAATTGTACACTTAAATGCAACTTACATTTTAAATCAGTAGGTCTGGATTAGATATTTTTAGTAAAATTCACAATGCTCAATCGATACTTTGATATCAAATACTATTTTTTTTATTGACCTTTAGATTTATGCACAGCTTCTCTGTGTCTCACTCATGTGTGTACTGACACTGCAGCCAGGCTGAGGTAATGTTGGTTCTTTATACAATACAGATATGACATTTCCCACCATTAAATTTAGACCTGTATTTTATCATTCCATAGAAAACTATAGGTTACTATAGTAACCCCTGTTCTCTGAAAAATCGAGTGGAGAGATTTGAGATTTGTCTAGATAAAACTCTTATTCCTCGGCTGGGATCGTGCCGAGACTCTGAAGCTGCACTGAAACTCACATTTGGAGCTTCGACCTGTTGGTCCCCATTGAAGTCACTATATGGAAAAAATTCTGAAATGTTTTACTCAAAAACCTTTTCGACTGAAGAAAGGAAGACATGAACTTCTTGGATGACGTGGAGTGAATTATTAGGAAATGAATTCTGAAGTGAACTAATCCTTTAATACTATACTTACTGTCCCATCAAATAACCGTCTGTGGAACCGCTATGGCCAGTAGTGTTGAGGTTCTGCCTATTTTGGCATGAACTGGAAGCAAAATACATACAGTACTATAGCAGCCTATCGCAAGAGACTGACTCTCTTTTCTATCGACTGATAGGTTGACATGCGATGACATCAGCAGTGTGTTTAGTGTGATGGAAAACAAATCCCTCTTCCCACAATTACCTATTTATTCCAATGGGGGCAAAATGATTTGGGTGTGTTTTCTACTTCTATTCCACCAACCAAGCAAAAAGAATATTGTGAAATTACACAAAATTACAAGACTCTAAATTGGACTAAAATATGAGCTAGAGGTGAAAACTGTATATTTCAGTTGAGAAAGTTTCTGTTACTCACCTTATAATTAAAGAACTGACCATCCCGGATTGAACATGTTTTAATATCATAATAGTAATTTGTTCTCATTGACTGCAACAAACTAACAACCATTCTCAATTTGTCATGATTGTATTTTGCTATTTAATATCTATGGGTCAATGTATGTTCTTTAGTTAGTACCTCATTTCTCGGCGAGTCTGGACGCTGTTTTTGATCCGTTGTGTTCATCGAGTTTGTAGACTTCATGTCATTCAGATCTGGTCTCGAGTCTTGATCTCCAGCGCCTGCTGTGTTTAAGTCCTAACATTCAGGGGGGGAAAAAACACCATTATTATTATTATTATTATTATTATTATTATATAAGACTTTTGGGTTAAAACATTTTTTTTTTTTTTTTATAAACACCAACGTTAGAACTAGTGATGGGCGCTTTCGAAATAACGTTAATGCTTCATGAAGTTTCGAAACCTTAAAGAACCTTTGTTTCGAATCTGTGGTTCGGAGGTTCTTCCAAACTGAAAGTCACGTGATTTCAGTAAACACAACTGTTTCTGTTTCGGAAAATGTATGTTTTATGCGGGGGGTCGACCATCTCTGTGTCCAAAACTTTTTAGACAGCTTTTTTTTTTTTTTTTCATTCGCTGTGACAGTGTTTGAGACCGAAGACACCCCACGAAACTGATAGCAGACCGACTTCAGAGGCAGCGAAACAGTTTAATGATCTCCACAGCCAAACAGAGTGAGCTTTGGTGATAACTAAGCGAATATTTAATCACAACAATTTAAGTTCTCACTAGAAATTACTTCACAAGTGGAAAACGTTGGTCAAAAACGTACATTTAAACACGCACACTAACCAGCAAACGCAGCTTTCAGACACCATCTTTATTTTTTTTAGCTCACCTGTCGTCACAGAATAGAAAGCATCTTTGCTGCCTTCAAACATCAAGTGAAAGTAGCATTGTGTGTGGACGATCCTTCATGTTTCCTAACGCATCCTCTGAAGGCAGCATTTATCAGTTTTCAGATGCAGCACATGAATCATGCGGATTCACGGATATCGCCCTCCAGCGGACAAATACTGAACAACCGTCTATCAGTTTTATACTGTACATTAGTTGACGTTTTAGTTACAGTTTTTTCAACTGCTTACACACAAAAACTTAAAAGTAAATCAGTAATGTTTGTCCAAGGCACGTTTAAAAAGCTACATAAATGTCCTAAATAGTCTCCTATGGCCTGTTTAGCCGAGCCATCCTTAGAACAAACCAAACAAGCCTTGAAAATTGATAAAAGAACATAATTGAAGACCTCCGATGCAAAAGCCTCTAAAAGCCACCCATGTTAAAAACGAGATAATAATATTGAGTGAATGCCCTCCGCACATAGTATACGTTTATCATACTTTCACTTCAAACTCACTATATCCCAGCCTCAGCCAATTCAAAAATGTCGGTACTCAGGTAGAAATAGGAGCCTGATAAAAAATATAAATATAAAGAAAAAAAATGTCAGATGGACTTATAGCTTTTGCATCTGAAGTCTCACTTATTTAGCTCAACACAGTCTTATCGTATGAATCTCTTGTTTCTTTGATTTACCACGAGTAACATGTTTGTACCATGCCTCAGACGACACAATTTTGTCAAATGGCTAACAGCCACAGTAAGAGTATACAGCATTTCTCCATTATGCACGCAATATATTTATATTTAATTGCATGTCATTAGGCAACACAAGTCATTGAGCTTATGTTTTAATATCGATCTAACACAGAGCACAGCGTAACATTATAACATAACTTTCAACACACTCAAATGTATTCGGACCAAATAAAACAGCGCTGTGTTACCCTACAATTTTAATTCATTTAATAAAATGACCTAATGAGTAACACTTAATAAAATAATCTTAAATTATTAGCATTTCTCCTTAATTTAATTGGGCCCTTGCAGGGAATAAACTGTATATTTCAGTTGAGAAAGTTTCTGTCACTCACCTTATCAATAGAAAACCGATCATCTCTGTTTGATGAAAATGGGGTCTGCTGAAAAAAAGAGAAATTTTCAATGTTTTATTATCACTAAAATCAATAATAGCAACAGTAATTTGTTTTTATTTTGTTCTATGTCACAAGACTCATTATCTCGGGGCAGTTTCTGTTCTTCAGTCAGTACCTCATTTCTCTGGGAGTCTGAACGGTGGGTTTGATCCGTTAGGGGATTTTGAGTTGGTATCGAGTCTTGATCTCCAGAGGCTGTATATATGTTCTAACATTCGGGGAAAGAAACATCTTAGACATCACTTAAAAAAAAAAATGAATTAAAACATTTTAAAAGGAAAATGCAAATCTTAAATCTTATTTTTAGTCAAATTTGCTTTGGAATCAACAAGTTTAATTGATTATTTTGTTTGTTTCAAAGTTTTTATTAATGTTAATACATTTTACAGACACTCTCATCCAGTGCCACTTCTGTTTTAAAAGAACACATTTGATCAGTTCTTGTTTTCCAGTTACTGTTTGAACTACATGTGTTAGTGTTGTCATGACACTGGAATGTCTAACTTCGCTACTTTACTTTGAAAAATATCAATATTCGAATTCTATAGTATGTGGAAACACTGTCGCATGGATATTTTTAATATTATCTCATGATTATATTATATATAATCTATACTTATATAGACAAGTAAACATTCTGCAATGAAAAAAAATAGAATAAAAGATACAAATGAAACTGCTTTAGTTTTTTCAGTTGGGTTTAACAGTATTCAGGAACAGAAATACTACAGACATTAGTTATCCAATATAATATCACTGGATAGTGGGAAAAATTAAATAAAGAATAATCCTTACAACTGAAGTTACAAAAGTTATTCAGTCAAGAACAGTGAGTGATTTTATCTGTTTTGTTGTTTGACTAACATTAATGACACGGACCGCAGCAGGAACATTAGGCTGCTGTCCCTTTAAGAGCGAATGCATGGATCCAATATACTGATACACACTTGTAGAGTGAGTGTTTTCAATTCAAAGCTTCACACTCATGCTGAGAATTGTGGGATTGACAGTGGACCGGAGAAAGTGTTGAGAGGTGGATGAGAGCATCAAAACGTTGGGCAGTTCTCAACTTTATGCAAATATCAAGCGAAAAATACGTACGACAGCCAATCGCTGTGATGATCAGCTGGAGACGTCTGTATTAAGTGTTTGTGTTGCATTGAGCGAGAGTTTATGCTGGATTTAGTAGTGAGTATATTGTTTATACAGTGTTTGGTGTAACTAATTACTAATACTAATTACTAATTTATAATTACTAAGTAATTAGTTACTGTAATTTAATTACTTTTCCCTTCAATAAGTAAAGTAAGGGATTACACATAATTTTTCTGTAATTTAATTACAGTAACTTCTGATGTAATTGAGCTAAAAACTGTGTATAGATCAATCCGATCTCACGGCGATTCGTATGAATTTTATGAGGTGTCTAAATCATACGACCTCACTTCTACAAATGCGTACGAATTAGCCATCTTGTAAAATAAGTATGAAATGTCATGAGATCAGACTGGTATTAGAATAATTTGATATAAAACAATAGTGGGTTTAACATCAAAATGTATTGTCTGATGTTAAAAACTGTGTTTATAATGTAAACTTCTCCCTTTAAATTGTTTGGTCAGTTTCACGATAATTAATGCAATTTTATAGTATTTATTTGAAAGAATTATACAGTTTCATGTCTATCCTTGTATTATTCAGCTGGTTGAGGTTGATAATTAGTAATTAAATACTTTTTAGAGAGCGTAATCTTACACTGTTGAAGTGGTAATTAGTAACTAGTAATTCATTACTTTTTTAGAGTAACAGTTGTTATGTTAAATATTGCTTTTTTGGATGCTTTCATTGTGTTTCAGTTTCTGGGTTTAAAAAAAGTTTATAAAACCGACACATCTTTACTTGGGCATTCGGGAACAACGCTTGCCTCTTTCCAACTATAGTCGCTTCTATCTTCGATGTAAGTTATATATTGCCCGTGTGTTGAAAATAACCGATTAAACATGGATAGAAGAGAGAACGAGATCACTCTACTGGTATCAAATACTGTGGAAAATAAGTATTGGAACCGTTTCAGATATTTAATTATCAATACTTATCGATATTGATATATTTAGTGTGTGAGGAGAGAGGCAGGAATTAGAGAATGACTCAAACATGTTAAGAGCTCGTGAACTGCCTATGCAACAATGTTGGTTCTTTATATATTTAAGTACAGATTACATTTAGACCTGCATTCAATGTATACAATTCTAATAAAAACAATATGAACAAAATGAATATGAACCAACAAATTTTCAGTAGATTTGGGTATTCTAGAAACATGTTGTTGCTGTGCGTTTTTGAACTTCAAAGCAAACTAATGTTACAAAAAATAAGGTAAAAGAAGCATGTGGAATTACAATAAACTATAATCTCTACATTTGACTGAAATATGGGTTCGAGGTGATAAACTGTACACCAGCAGAGAAAGTTCCTGTTACCGACCTGAGGATTAAAGCCCGTACACACCGGGACGAATATCAGCGCGCGTTATTCGTCAGCGTTTTTCAATGCGTTTTTTGTGTTCACACCCAAGCGCTTTTCGCTGACGATGAGCCGAGTGAACATGCAAATTCATTCCCTGACATTAGATGGCGCTTAATGTAAAACAGAAATAATAATAGAATACTAAACTAGGGTGATCATATTCATGTCTCAATGTTTTATTATGACAGATAAAAAAACCCGAATGAAATAATGATAGAAATAATGTGTTCTGTATTAGAAAAATAAAAATACCTAAAAGAAATGCCTCCAAATGCAACAAAAAATAGCTCTCACAAACTTACAAAAACGAACTAACAAAATCTATTTATATCCCCTTTATCCTGTTTTTCCTCCTCATCCACCTTGTTTGCCCATCCACAAACCGAATTCCATAAAAGTTGGGACACTGTACAAATTGTGAATAAAAACAGAATGCAATGATGTGGAAGTTTCAAATTTCAATATTATATTTAGAATACAACATAGATGACATATCAAATGTTTAAACTGAGAAAATGCATAATTTTAAGGGAAAAATAAGTTGATTTTAAATTTCATGGCATCAACACATCTCAAAAAAGTTGGGACAAGGCCATTTTTACCACTGTGTGGCATCCCCTCTTCTTTTAATAACCGTCTGCAAACGTCTGGGGACTGAGGAGACAAGTTGCTCAAGTTTAGGAATAGGAATGTTGTCCCATTCTTGTCTAATAAAGGCTTCTAGCTGCTCAACTGTCTTAGGTCTTCTTTGTTGCATCTTCCTCTTTATGATGCGCCAAATGTTTTCTATGGGTGAAAGATCTGGACTGCAGGCTGGCCATTTCAGTACCCGGATCCTTCTTCTACGCAGCCATGATGTTGTAATTGATGCAGTATGTGGTTTGGCATTGTCTTGTTGGAAAATACAAGGTCTTCCCTGAAAGAGACGATGTCTGGATGGGAGCATATGTTGTTCTAGAACTTGGATATACCTTTCAGCATTGATGGTGCCTTTCCAGATGTGTAGCTGCCCATGCCACACGCACTCATGCAACCCCGTACCATCAGAGATGCAGGCTTCTGAACTGAGCGCTGATAACAACTTGGGTTGTCCTTGTCCTCTTTAGTCCGGATGACATGGCGTCCCAGTTTTCCAAAAAGAACTTCAAATTTTGATTCGTCTGACCACAGAACAGTTTTCCACTTTAAATGAGCCTTGGCCCAGAGAAAACGCCTGCGCTTCTGGTTCCCGTTTAGATATGGCTTCTTTTTTGACCTATAGAGTTTTAGACGGCAACGGTGAATGGCACGGTGGATTGTGTGCACTGATAATGTTTTCTGGAAGTATTCTTGAGCCCATGTTGTGATTTCCATTACAGTAGCATTCCTGTGTGTGATGCAGTGCCGTCTAAGGGCCCGAAGATCACGGGCATTCAGTATGGTTTTCCAGCCTTGACCCTTATGCACAGAGATTGTTCCAGATTCTCTGAATCTTTGGATGATATTATGCACTGTAGATGATGATAACTTCAAACTCTTTGCAATTTTTCTCTGAGAAACACCTTTCTGATATTGCTCCACTATTTTTTGCCTCAGCATTGGGGGAATTGGTGATCCTCTGCCCATCTTGACTTCTGAGAGACACTGCCACTCTGAGAGGCTCTTTTTATACCCAATCATGTTGCCAATTGACCTAATAAGTTGCAAATTGGTCCTCCAGCTCTTCCTTATATGTACATTTAACTTTTCTGGCCTCTTATTGGTACCTGTCCCAACTTTTTTGGAATTTGTAGCTCTCATGAAATCCAAAAGGAGCCAATATTTGGCATGGCAATTCAAAATGTCTCACTTTCAACATTTGATATGTCATCTATGTTGTATTCTAAATATAATATTGAAATTTGAAACTTCCACATCATTGCATTCTGTTTTTATTCACAATTTGTACAGTGTCCCAACTTTTATGGAATTGGGTTTGTATATTTTGATGTAGAACTGATCTTTCCCAGCAGTTTTTTTTTTTTTTTTTTTTGAAAACCAGGACATTTTCATCACTTAAAAACAGCCAGGACAGGACGTGGAAACGGGACATGTGTAACGCAAAGTTGAGATGTTGCCCAGAGATAAAAACATATCACTAGTTGTCGGATGAACAGATGCACGAGAGACGAGAGTTGTCGGATTTCCTACTTCCGTAGGAGACAGGCCATCTCTGCTTGATAAGGGTACGGTCTGCTGAAAGTTTTGTTTGTGAATTTACAGGTAAATAAATATTTCAGTAAATAAAGTCTGTTCGCCACTGAAATCTGCTATGACTGAAACTAATCCCATCAAACAAGGAAAGACCATGTCCACACAGAAGTCATATCATTCAAAACCTCAAATTAAGCCCAAACATCTCAAGACGAGGGGTAAAATAATCAATACTGTTAAAATACAGTAGGACAAACAGTTTTTGAAAATGATTCATAAATAACAGAAAACAAAAGGAATGGAAACATAACCAAGTCCAACCTATTTCTACAGTAGCTGTCTCTGTGATGCATTTCAATAGTAGCTACATGTCCTGAATGAGCAAATGAACACTAGTTTTACCTGATTATCACGGCTCACGTTGGGAAGGTGTTGTTCATGTAATCTGATGGGTTGTTGAGTGACGACAGGGCCACTGATATCCTGAGAGAGTGAGAATATTACTCAGTTTGTGGAATTACAATGAACTATAAGTGAATATTTTGACTAGATAAGTACAATAAGTGAATATTGTGAAGAAAGACTTTCATTTAATGCAATTTCTTTCTCAAACATTTTACTAAAATGTCTGTTAGAGGTGATAAACTGTTTATTTCAGTTGGTACTCACCTGACTATTACTAAAATGATTATGTGTTATCAGTTGAATCTGCTGAATCAAGAACAAATGTTCCCTGTTTCCATATCAATGTAATAAATAATAGTCACTTTATTTTGTGCTTATTTACAGCTACAAACTAACAACCATTCTCAATTTGTCATGGATGTATTTTGCTATTTAATGGGACTCATTATCTACAGGCCAGTTTCTGTTCTTCAGTCAGTACCTCATTTCTCTGGGAGTCTGAAGGATGTGTTGGATCCGTTGTTGGTCTCGAGTCTTGATCTCCAGTGGCTGTATATATGTCCTAACATTCAGGAGGAAAGACATCTTAAATACCATTTAGAAACTATTTAAATAATACATTTTATAATTAAAATACAATTTGTTTATTTAATAACCTATTTTAGTCAAATTCACTTTGCTCAAGAGATACTTAGGAATCAACAAGTTTTAGCGATTATTTTGTTTGCTTTAAAGTTTTATTGAGGATCTTTAGATTTATATATGTCATTTTACAGACACTCTCGTCCAGAGCAACTTCTGCTTTAAAGGAAGACATCTGATCAGTTCTTGCATTCTCTGGAAAAGTGGGAATCTGTGATCATGTCCCATTTCAGAAAGGACGGTCTTGTCCACTGATACTGGTGTCCACGGAGTACCTCTTTTTGTGAAATTACAATAAACTTTCTATGTATTGTTTTTGTTTGTTTGTTTTGTTTAAAATAACTTCTATTTTCTAACTAATTAAAAAAAAATCTCTATACATTGCTACTGTGCTGCAGAGACGGGTACTCACCGGTTCTTTAGTCACCTGACTCAAATCATCCATTGTAATGTCATCAGTGCTTCCAGGAGTATCGGCCTGCTGAATCCCCTAATATTAATATCAATAAAATCAATATTTATTCGTACTTACAACAATCCAACAACATCCATTCTCAGTATATCTTAAATTCACAATGAAATCAAAATGGACGATTATTGTTTTTTAATGGAATATCGCAGTATTTATTATAATTGATTTCTCTGTGCACATATTTAATGTTTTTAAGTGTATGCGCCTTGTAATCTTTCCCTCTGTCTTGCAGTGACATCTCTTCTTTTCTCTGATGACGAGGCTTTTAGACTGCTTTTAATTCAAGATCTAACACACACGTCCAATATATTGACATCGATTTTCTCTCCTATAACCAACTATTTAACGTTAACACTTGCTGGAGAGGCATTTTTAACCAAATTTTGTGTGCATGATTTGACAGTTCAGATACAGTAGATGAATACAAATACAGTAGACAGTTCAAAATGAAAATGCTGTCATCATTTACTCACCCTCATGTTGTTCTAAACCTGTATGTGTTTATGGGACAAAATACTATGGAAGTCAATGGGGTCCATCAACTTCAAAACATTCTTCAAAATATGTTCTTTTGTGTTCAGCAGAAGAAAGAAATTCTTACAGGTTTGGAACAACTTGAGGGTGAGTAAATGATGACAGCATTTTAAAATTTGGGTGAACTATCGCTTAGTCATTTTTACTGTTTATTTACATTTCCTATTTAATATCAAGCACATCCTGTGCTTATTTTCTCATTCATGCATGTTTCTGTCTAGTGTGTCAAAAACTTTAAGCAGTCCTGAGCTGCACGGATATATTTAAATACAACCATATAGACACATTTCTATCAACTGACATTTTATATCATCACAACTTTATAGCCATATCATCCAGTCAGTGTTGAAGTTGCATTAAGAGGACAGTAGCTGTCCTCTGTAAAAAAATTTTTTTTTAAATAAATAAAAATAAAAAGTAAACAGGCATGGAGTTTAATATGTATTTTTACGATTCATTTTCAGCCAGGATGCAGCCATCATTGGAGATGTTTTGTTTTCAGAAAGCTCTTAATTAGTTTAAAATTCAATGTACTACTGTATGTTTTGAGAAAAAAAATTGTGCATGTATTATGTACAATATGTTGAAAATGAACATGCATGCACTTATACACTACTTCATTCTATTCTAGTCCACGCTTCAGGAATAGTCACTTGTTCAGCACAATTGCCACAATTGCAAAAAAAAAACAAAAAAAAACCTAAATGATCTGGATAGCAAGTGTTTTTCTTAAAAATCCTCCTCACCGGTATAATGCCAGCTGATTGTAGGGTGGTATGAAGAGAACTCGCCGGCATCCCAAGGCTGTCTGTATTTTCAGGCTATTGTCAATACAGAAAAAAGTTACATTAGAGCAATAATGAAAGAGAGATATATAAATAAAGACCAATATCAAAATGTTAATGGAAATCACATCTTAATTGTGAATAATGTTAAATTCTCATATGGATTATATTGTTTCAGCGCTCAACCTTTTGAATTCAGTTAATATCATGTAAAATTGCAGATATGATGTTTAAAGTGTATTTAAGAATCAGTCATTTCAATATTTGTCAGAGTTAAAAAACGACATATAAAATTCTATATATATGTATATATATATATATATATATATATATATATGAAGAGTTCAGATGCAAAAGCCTCTAAATGCCATTTGAAATTTTCTTCTTTAATGTTTATTTTTATCAAACTTGTATATTTAAGTTCAGTGAAATCACTGAACTTAAATATACAAGCTTGATAAAAATGATCATTCTAGAAAAAAAATGGCATTTAGAGGCTTTTGCATCTGAACTCTTCATATATATATGGCACAACTCTTCATATATATGCACATAATTCATCCAAGTATGCGTGTATTTTAAATCTGTATTTACACATAAACATTGCTCCATGAAATCCTCTTTATGAAAACACTTGCAAAAGTGTGGGGGATCAATTTACATGTTATTAAAATTGCAGAGGACACATTTTATGCCCATGTACGTCATCATATTTTCATATTTTCATCATATGGTGCATCTCAATCAGTTCTCTAGTAGTCATTTTAAGAGCCGTCTCAAATGCAAAATCCGTCCAGTGCATTCACTCCCTAAAAAGTCCCACAATACAGTGAAAACCCAAGGACACAGACTGTGATGACATGTTTCCAGTAAATTTTTTTTCATATTTTCATTTTTAAATGTATAAAAATGTCACATTAAAACGAAGTAATGCTACTTCGAGAGTGTTTCTAATACAACAACTGAGGGAGTAAAGGTAAATTTGACATCTTTCTCTCTTCTGACCAACATAATACAACATAACACAATCTCTGTATTTTTTCCCTGAAAGGAAAAGTAGTGGCAACAAATCTTCTTTTGTTATTGGAGCAAATGGGAATAGAAAAATTATATTTGCTATAGACGCTTACCCAACTATGACAATTTCCGTTTATGAGAATCAATGTGAAAAGGGTCCATTAATGCTCACTATTGTCATGATTCATGTCTTGTCTTGTGTACTTTTGTCATTTCCTGTCTTGTGCTAATTTTTATAGTCCTATGTAGTTTTTCATGTTGTTTCATCTGCCCAGGTCTATCTTGCTTCCTCATTATCTAGTTAAGCTTGTTTGCCAATGTGTATTTATAGCCCTTGTGTTTCACTTGTTACTTTGTCATTTGTTGTACATGCATGTTTGCTACTAGTTCGGTCCTACTCGTGGTTTTATTTCTTTATCCCTGGAGTTCTTTATTTTCTGTTCTATGTGTTATGTCATTAAAACCTTGCAGATAGATCCTCGCCTTCGACTGCTTTCTCCAGCACGTTACAACTATGTTGCCTTACCGGAAAATACATACCATTTTCTGAAGTGTGGAATGTAAATCTCCCAAGCCAACTAAAGGCAAGCTCACACTATATATGACTTATGGCTGGATATTGCTATTGCTGTTTTAAACGTCTGTGACAAAACTCGATGTTTGAGAGTCATTGCCACATGATCTTGTCATGAGTGCAATGCAATGACAGACAATCCAGCCAATCACAGTGCAGATGGTGAAAAAGAAAAATCTCGCTTAAGTTTATGTGAAAATCTCTTTTTGTTGTTGGTCGGGACTGCATCTTGACCAAATGTCTGTAGTTTCTGCACCCTATTGTTGTGTTGTAAAGTATGCATGAAGACAGATATGACAAGAAACCTTGTTGTGCAGTGCAGTTGTATAGAGTAAGCACCACAGCCATTCAGCTGGTCTTGTGTGTAGTGTGAGTTTACTCTTAGTACACATGACATACTGAATGTAAAAAATCTATTTCAGAATTAAAACACATAATAGTACATAACATTTATAATTCAATTATGGCTGAAATATTGCAGGCCTATATAAAAAATCTATGCATTTTCCATAATGTGCATTGAGCAGCTTTAAAAAAATTGATAATGCTTGATATCTGTTGATAAACAACAGTATGTTTTACAATGAGCGGACATTGTCATGTAACGGAAGTTGAGTTATCGGTGTCCAAATGTATAGTGAGCCAGGGACCTTACCAGTGCCCGAATTTGTGTTCACAATATTGATTCACAATCTGGGAAGCTGATTGAGAAGCACCCTAAAACCTTATGGGTCTAGTCAGCAAGCCTTTATTGAATTATGATTAATGATTAAATCAGTGCAACCTATTAGGAGACAAAGTCAGAGATCTATGCCGATAGTCATGTTCTACTGTAATCTTATCTTGTAATATAATAGATGCACAAATAAGCAATCCATGTAAAACCTCTGCTATATGGCTGTGTGGATAGAGAAAGAGAAATGTATAGTCTATAAAGCCTTATGTTTTTCTTTTTCACTTTACCCTTCTAGCCTATTGTTTTATAGACTCTTAAAAATAAAGGTCCCAAAAGTCTTTTCTCAGTGATGCAAAAGAACCATGTTCTATTCCACAAAGAACCTCCCTGTGAACAGTTCTTTAAAGAACCACGAAAAATATTTTAATAATTTAATAAACTATTTTCCACTATAAAGATCATTTTGTGCAATCGAAAGGAACTATCAATGCCAACAAAGAACCTTTATTTTAAAAAGTGCAGTTTAATTAAAAAACAAAACAAACTCAAAATTACCTAAATTATAAATTCCATTTGCTTTATGTGACATTGTCACATTGATATAGGTTATATTAGACCTGTGTGTGATTCATAAATGAACAATAAAGTTACTTACTGGTGAAGAGTCAACATCCATTTCTTCTGTGTGATCCATGACTGAGAGAGAATCAGCAACTGAATCCAAACTTTGGCGCTGATTAATAGGCCTAATACCTAAAATAGTGACAAAATTGTATTTTTTAGCTCACAAACAAACTGTAAATGCTCCATATGTTTTTGCACTTGTTAAAACGTTGCTAGTAGTTTACAATCTTGGTGATGGCAAACAACCTTTAAAGTCGATGTTAAAATGTAGGCCATACAAATTTTACATTTTACATTATAAAATGTATCTCATTCTTGTCAAATTCACAATTTGTTAATGATATGTTTTTCTTAAAGACTGGAGCAATTAAAGAGAATCGAGTTTAGTTTCATTTTCATTTCGCGTATAGCTGCACAGTTTTGGACATTTCGTTACAATTTGATAGTTCTTGAAGATAAACGTCAATCTTTACACATTTTTGTTCGAATTACGCTTTTTATTCTTTAGACTGCAGAAGTCAGAGGTTTAAATTTCGATGTTCGAAATGACGATACTTTTATGGTTATGTTTAGCTAGCGCAGCTCCAGGATTTTACTCGATCACTCGACAGTGATATCGACACATCGAGCAAATTTAAGAACAGATCTGATGTTTAATCTCGTACTTACCGAAAACGGTGAGCTGTGAAGTGTGTGTGAGCTGTGAGCCACTGAACTGCACTCGTCAACCTGATCCACTGGTTCTGGACTTCAGAGAAAGAAAGCGAAAGTTATTGGAGGACGTGAAGCAGCGTAGGCTATGATATGACAACAATGCAAATGTCTCTTTAAAAAACGACCCTGGATAATTTACATCTATGTAATGCAGGGTTTCTCAAACTCGGTCCTGCAGAGTTTAGCTCCAACCCTGATCAAACACACCTGAGCAAGCTAATCAAGGTCTTCAGGATCACTAGAAACTTCCAGGAAGTTTGTTTGATCAGGGTTGGAGCTAAACTCTGCAGGACAGCAGCAGACCAAAATGATCAGTTTGGTCACCAAAATGAAAACATTTTTTCATGCCTTAAAATAGTTCAAATGTAACTCGACACCCTTGCCTCATTTATGAAACGGTTCTGAATATGCAAATGAGCCCCGTCTCCACTCACTCACTCACTCACTCGCTCAGCTCAGATATCCACTGGTTGAGGATCACACGTTGATCTGATTGGTTACAAGGTAGTTTGTGACGTCAGAAACGTCTTTGGTTCTCTGCAAAATACTCAGCAATGCTATAACAATTATGAATTTACACATGGTTTGTCTTAAAGCATATTAAAAACACCATAGACATATAAACAACATTCAATTTCATTTTTTGTGGGATTTCATACTATCAAAAATGTAATAGGCTATATAAAGTATTTATATTATTTAGAGATGCAATTAAGTTTTTATCTTCTAATTGTATGTATGATTTACAGTGTGATTCTCGTAATGTGATATTTTATTAGTTGTTTTATTAGGCTAGCTGATTGATTAGTGTTACTCGTCTCAGCCTCTAACTAGTTATAAAAAAAGCATTTGAGCCAGTTCAAAATAGTGATCCCGTCTAACTCTTCAGTTAACAGACTCCCCCTATTGGTTAAACATTTGGACGACACCTAGCATTTAAAGAGACAGTCCACCCAAAACTGCTGTCATATTTTTCTCACCCTTATGTTTTCCCAAGCCTGAATGCATTTCTTTTATTATTGGAACACAAAAGAAAGTCTTGTGAAGAATGTTGGGAAACAAAACACATTGATGTCCACTGAATAGAGAAAAAAACAGGCATTTCTTGGTCTCGCTCAATAGGATCTTTGGAAAATATGAAGCATATAATCCAGCAGATTAAGAGCTGCTCTAAAATCATATATCAAAGCAATATGAGTAGAATCAGAGAAATTACATGTAATCAATCCTGCTGGAACAACATATTTTCTTTGAATAACCTTTGGGGCCGAGTTATTTCCCCACAATGCACAATTATATATATATATATATATATATATATATATATATATATATATATATATATATATATATATATATATATATATTATAAACATGTATAACTTCTTTATTTGCACTGCATTAATCACATTTTTTCAGCCTTTTAGGTTACCTGAATATCATCTATTCTTGTTGAGGCATAGTGGTGATTTCTGTTCTAAACTCAAGTCAAGGATAAATACACAGTTCACAAAAAATCTTTAAACCAACAATCAGAATCATAAATCATTACAAATAAATCACTGACTAAGTGTTAAGCCCATATCTAAGGTGATTTGAGATTTTTTATTTTTGTTGTTGTTCTTGATCATTTTTTCTCCTCATGGGCTCTTTTCTTTCATCTGACTCCATTTGATTCCTCTTTAAGCAGTACTTGATTGAAGTGCTGATTGAAAACATGCAGGTGATCAGTCCAGGGAGCGTGAGCAGGGTAGAGACGCAGCCGGAGGCCTGGAAGTCCGTTGCGTGACACCTGAACAAGACGGTTCCGAAGGGACGAGGGAGCCCGGCAGAGTCCGAAGTATGACGAACCACTGTGGAGCCAAAGGAGACGGGAAAGGGTCAACAGGCCAAGGTGGTCTGTACTCTAAGGCCCTAGGAGGACCGGAAAGCCTGAGGTGGAGCCGGAGATCTGGATGGAACCAGCAGAAGGGGATGAGCCAAGGAGCTAGACGTAACTAAGGATAGCTTTTGCTGACATCTAGGTCGGGATGAAGAAACTTGGGCCAGCCTATGTGGCTGGGATTAAGAAGCTTAAAGGCAGGACAGAAACACCGGGAGAGGAAGGAATTTGGACAGGACTGGGACATCAATCCAGCCGGATGGGGCGGCAGATGATGAAGAGGTTCTAGGGTGGAAACTATGGTGGGAACTGGCTCAGCATTCAAGTCTATTAACTGCTCCTCACTTGCCCATTTCAAAGTCGACATGGCTACAGGCTCCATCTCCGGACATGCTGGAAGACTGTCTCTAAGATGGGCATGGCAAAAGCGTGACCGAATGGCACCCTACTCCTCATCCACCTCACTGACGGTGTAGGGAGAGCCATACAGCCACAGCACATAATCCACATAATGAGCCAGATTCAGGAACAACAATCCCATCCGGTTTAAACTTTTGGAATTTGGAGAAATATTTGAAATATACCAAATTGCTACAACAGCACAATCATGCAGATTTGCACTGTACAACATTAGGAAGATCCAGCCCTTACTAACTGAACACGCAACACAACTTCTAGTCCAGGTCCTTGACATTTCTAGTCTGGACTATTGCATTGCCCTTCTGACTGGACTTCCAACATGTGCAATCAAAATGATTCAGAACGTGTCCATGATTCAGAGCCCACGTCACACCACTGTTTATCTCTCAGCTTCCGGTTGCAGCTCACATCAAGTTTTAAGACATTAGTTATTTACATTGATCCCATTGCTGTGTATTTTGCTCTATCCTTTCTCAAAATCTTATTTATATCACCGGGACTTGAATTTGAAAGAGCTACTAAAGAAAAAAAAGTATTGTAATTTGGTCTTATACTGTATTTCAGCTGTGTAAACATGGAGCTCCAGAGCAGAGGTAATTGCATTTTTGCAGACTATCCACAAGTTTCCGAGGGGCGCTCCTGTAAAAAATAAAGTGGGTGAAACTTCCGGTGAGGCGGCGGAAGTAGCATTCCAATGGTATTTTGTGTGTTAGTTAGCGAAGAGGCTAGCTGTTTTTCGGAGAATTATTTTACTATTTAAAGACGCAAATCTTTATGAGAGATGTCGTTACGGAGCTCAGGGACAACATGTGCTGTTCGCGGTTGTATGTATAACCGGACTAAACTAATTCAGTGGCTTAAACGTGATTGTTTTGAACATAATCTGAAAAGGAAATCAGAGTGATCCTGTCAGAGCCCGTCTCTGATCCTGCCAATGACTGTAGTTTCCATCACCTCCCAAAAGACGACGAATCTTCCTGTGTACATTTGTTTAAATTCTTAATGTTCTATAAACTCTATCAGCATGTGATTGGCTGTTCGCTACTGATGTTACACCTAAACTCAGGATCAAAGCCTGTGTTGACAGAATACCAAATGTGCCAGTTAATGTATTCAAGAAGCACATTCATTTATAATTTTGAATAAACTCCAAAGCACAATGACTAAGTGTGTATTTTTTATTTTAATTGTTTGTCAGCTCGCACAACTGTGTCACCATGCCTTGATGAGTATTGATTATTAATAATGTTATTATAATACTCCCAATCAACTACTGCGGAGGGTAAAGGTACTGTTATTTCACCCTTTTGAATTTCGTTGAGGTTGTGTTCCCACATCGTTAGCTAGTTTGGATCGCTATAACTTGAATGACCGTCAACTGTTGAATGAACGAGTGTCAAGCATGTCAAGTAGCGCTTTGTTTACTTCCAACCGGAAGTCGCGCCCACTTTTGGCGCAAGGCCTCATGGGGCGTAGGAAACTTGTGGATATAAAATCCTCATTTAATGCCTTTGGCCTGTAACTCCTTTTTTACTTTCTTTAGGTAGTCAGGATCTGGATAGCCATTCCTGTGGATAGAAATAAAAAAATATTTGACATGAAACCCAAAATAATATGAAATATTTGATTAGTGATTTTGATGGACAATTGAAAGCACACATTAAATGAACTCATACCCTTCAGGCCCACCGGACATGTTGGTCTTATGATGAATACCATTACAGATGACCACATTATCTGCACCCGTAGTTGTAGATCTCTCGACGGTAAAGATCCGTTTCTGTTTGAAAGCCCTCTGCAGCAGTTTGAGCACTTCTCTTCCTTCAGGATTGTCTGGCAAGTACGCATGAAGATTTGCCCCATAAAAATGCTTTCCTGGGTTTGGATGATGCTTCTAAAAATGATTTAAAAAGATGTATAACTGTACAATAACATTAAACAAATCCATGTAAAAATGTTGTTTGTTTTTACAGCAGGGCCGTCTAATCCTGCTCCTGGAGGGCCGCTGTCCTAACTCAAACCTGGTCTTGCCTGGGACTTTCTAGTAATCAAGACCTTGATTAGCTGGTCCAGGTGTTTAATTATAGGGTTGGAGTTATGCCGCGTTCCAGGCAACCTGTAACTCGTGTTTTTCCAACCTTATACTCGTGAAAGTGCACTGGAACGGCAGTCAAACTCGTGACTTCCCACCCGTGAACTCGTACTAGATCGATGTACTCCCAGTTACGAGTTCTGACGTCACATAGCCCGCGAACCAATGACAGCCCCTACTTATGCAGTGTTTCTGCAGGCGGTACACGGTGAGATACACTTTAGGACAATATAACGTCAACTAGTTTTCAGTCCATTGAGTGCAACGATAAATATATACCAAATACATTTCCAAATATACAAATAAAGTAAAAAAAAAAGTATATAACAGCTTATCTTGCCTCATGCGCTATTTTTCCACCTCAGTTTCCCACAAATAAACAAGGAGTAAGCACCTTTGGCGTTAGAAAATATTACAAACGCGCATGAGCCCCGTAAGGTCCGCCATGCTGGTTTGTTTACATCTAGGTAGTTTGACGTGAATGACCTGGAATGCTACAAAGTCGTAAGTCGTGGTTTGAAGTCGTGATTTACGTGTTCAAAAACCTGCCTGGAACGCAGCATTAAACTCTACAGGACAGCGGTCCTTCAGGAACAGAACTTGCGCTTGTGTTATTAAGCCCATGTGCCCAGGAGATGTTTATTAGGAGCGCACAGCCTGTAGACCTTTAGCCCAGTGCTTTGATTTACATTTTTGATCACAGTTCAGTTTTACATGTTCTTACCGTTTGAATCCCACTGGGTATGTAATAGTTGATTTCAATAGTGCCACAACGTGGATATCCAGGAAGACTCGTTCTGCTGTTTGTTACACGCATTGTTCCATCTGGTTGGTTTCCCTCCAAAATCCCAAAGACTTCCTTACACACAGGACAGATGGGTCCCATACTCTCCACTGACAAGCGAATACAATCCTGACAGAATTCATGCCCACATTTCAGTTTTTTCTTGTCTGTGAAGCTGTCCATGCAAATAGAACACGTCTCCTCTTCAGCAGGAGCATCTTTACAGTCATTTCTAGAATTTTTTTTTAGCTTATCAATGAAACCCTTATCAGCTTCACTCCACCCTTTAAAATTCACTCCCTCTTCCCCTACTGATCCTCCAACTGCTCCTGGTCCATAATCAGGCGTCTGATTCCATTGGATTCCTCTTGTATGAGGAACGTCCCCTGAGTAACCAATCGATTTCTTCCTCTTGTCATCAAACACACTCTTCTGAAGTCTCTTCTCGATTTCAGCAATGGCAGGACCGAGATGTTCTGGCAGTCCAACGAGCCTCCAGCCACTCGAAGCATCTTCTGCAACAACACAATGAAGCTCCTGCTGAAGTTTCTCTACTGCTGATGCCACAAGAGTTGCGTCTCTAGGGTTTTGGAGTTCACAGGTGACAGCGGCGGATGCAAGTTTCTGGTAGAGTTGTGTTAAAGCTCTGATGGCATGACTTTCAAGATTAATATGTTGAACTCCTTTGGATCGAGCTTGAACTTTAATGGTTGAGTTTTTCTGCTGTTTTTCTTCATTAAATGACACTCCATACTTTGTTTCAAGCTGTGATAATTTCTCCTTATAGGAAAGTTTCATCAGATCCCCATGAACCGTGTCCATCTCTAGATGAGTTGGTAGATCCTTTGTGTCCATGTTTCTCCTGCTTTGTGGAGAAAAAAAGTCTTTATTCATTTGGCTTGATTTGTCATTGAATTGGCTTTCCCTTGTTCCTTCAAACTCTCTTTTAATCACGTCTGTAAGTTTCTTCGGTCCAAAGAACAGGCAGTCACTGGCAGACATGGTGAACATCATCTTTGCCTTCTCCGACTGGATGTGACGAAAGGCCTGCTTCACAAGATCTGAATCCATTTGATTATGGTTAATGGCAGCTTGACTAAAATTATCAACACATCCCTGAACAAGTTTGTAAAAGTCATCAGTGGCTTTAGACACAGAATCAGGGCTTGGGCTCTTGGTGGGTTTGATTGAGACTGACACTTCTGCACAAATAGAGACTCCATGATGTTTCTCAATTTGCTCCATCTCCTTTCTGTAGGCGTGATGCATGTACCAGAACTGATAGAGGGGGACAGCCTGAAGAGCTGGTGTATCAGGGGTCGTTATTGCAGTTTTACTGGACTTAGCTTTATTTGAAGCTCTATTAGATGTAGACACGTTCTCAACATCATTTGTGTATTCTGATGCTGCAGTCACAGGCATAGAACCGATCACCTAAAAACATATGATGAGATTTGACTGAAGTAAAATGGAAATATTTTAATTATTATAACACCAAACTATTGCTACAAATTATAGTGTAATTTAATTATAATCATATTAGTATTATTCCTACTACTACTCTACTACACTGTAAAAAAATATTGATGGTTTAACTTAAAATTTTAAGGCATCCAGGTTACTTACTTTTTTAAGTTCATTGAACTGAAAAAAGTAAGTTAATACAATGAAGGAGAATGATTTAATCATCAGAAACTCAAAATTATATGTTATCTGAACTAAATAAATTATTTAAGTTGATTTGACAAAAGAAAAAAATGTTTTGATTACTACACTGTAAAAAAATATTGTTGGTTTAACTTAAAAAAGTAAGTAACCTGGGTTGCCTTAAAATTTTAAGTTGATTGAACTGGAAAAAGTGAGTTAATACAATGAAGGAGATTAATTTAATCATCAGAAACTCAAAATAATAAGTTATCTCAACTAAATAAATTATTATAAAGTTGATTTGACAAAAGAAAATATGTTGTGATAACAAATCTTGATAATATATTTACAGTGTAATGACTAAGAGTCAGAACAGAAATAGTTTAGTTGCTAGTTACTATTTAGAAATAGCAAAAAACAACAAAAAAAAAAAACATGATTATACCCAAAGTAAATATGATACCTTTGTTGAAGGTGCTCCATTGTCCTTTACAAAATGTGCTTCATCCAGACCAATCCATGCAGTGACTTCCTTAAATGTACCATCCTTATAATCTTTAAACCTCAAAGATATATGTTTGAGCCTTTTTAACACTTCTAGAGCTGCACAAAAAAGAGTACATTTAATTAAACATTAAGAAATATCACCAATAATTTGTCAAAGTAATTTTAATGAATAAAATGCTGTTATGCGGTTTAAACCCATGTGGAATTTATTTAAAATGTTAAAGTCCACTAAATTAAATCAGTCAGTTGATGATCAGTAATAAGTGATTTCACTGGATTCTATGTGTGTGAAAGAGGGAACAGTATTGATATGCTTTCAATGATGACTAGTACAACAATCACTTAAAAATAATCAAAATAAGTAGTGGCAGATTGAGCCATAGGAGGAGATGTGTGTTTGATTGAGCATCTTATGAATGTGGTTGATTAAAATCATTGACAGATGATCTCCATTGGGAAAATGTCTGGGTTTTTACAGTCTTCTGGCATTGCCATCTTATTACAGTAAGCCCATCTCTGACACTTAAGATGTCATTCAGGATCAAGAATCTGAACACAAATGCGTAAAGCAGCTTCAGTCAATCCCTCATTAGTGGCCAAACACAGGTGTGTAGGAACCTTTTTTATCCATTAGTGTTCCTCTTCTTATTATTATTCCTTCTTCTTTGGCTTCTTCCACTATTGAGTCTATGGCAGTCCACTGAACAGCTTGCGGAAAAGTTGTGAATTTTAGCACACAAATAAAGGACAGTCTGAACATCAACCACTGCAATTTTGGAGTCTCTAATAAGTTTCACCTGTTTTAATGAAACTTGCTTGAGTCATACTAAGAGAAATTATTCCAATTATGCCATTAGTGTCATCAGGTTTCCTGAAAACCTATATTCACACTCCTCCTAGACTCTTTTTTTCGCCCAAATCGTCTCTGATTATTTTCAGACCATGCTGGCAAGATGTTTTTTGCTTTTTGATAGACCAAACCATTCTTGAATAACGCATTAACAAATATGAGGGCATGATGCTAAGCTGATTCTGCAACAATTTGCCATATTGACACCAAACTTTGTGTGTCATTGTCTCCTCACTCTAACCACACAACATCCATTTGCAACACTACCACCATTGGTAAATGGTAAATGCATTTATATAGCACTTTCACAGACCCAATGGCCACCAAAGCGCTTTACATTTTACCTCACATTCACCCATTCACTCAACTCACTCATACACAATGGCGGTGTCAGCCATGCACGACATCATCCAGCTCGTCAGGCGCAACTGGGGTTAGGTGTCTTGCTCATAGAAACCTTGACACTCAGTCAATCGGGGATTGAACCACCAAACTTCTAGTTTGTAGACAACCTACATGAACCACTGAGCCACTGCCACTGCCAGAAAGCTCAATAGAAAGTAATTTAAATAAGCTCAAATTTCTTTACTTGTAATTCATGCTAGCCTTGGCCTATTAATCAAACGCCATCTCACTTTTTAAACACATCATCAGCTGTTCAATCATGATACTGATTAAAGCAATTTAAATCTTACTGGATCAGACTAAAAATTGTTGTCAATTGTAACTTTAAGCTGTAACACTTGACTTTAGTACTTACTCATTACTTCTAAAAATGTAATAAGTGTAATGTTTATTACCAGCAATGTTACCACTAACACTGGTATGTGCCCTTGTGTATACGGCAAAATATACTGTATGTATTTTAGTTAATTCAGAAACTAGCATTCACAAAATTTAAGTTGAAATGTTATACAAGTGAATTATCATATCACCTGTTGATGGCGTTATCTGCACCTCGGCACAGGACTGATCCTCCATGAGTTTAAGGCTGACGACATCAGGTTTTCCTTCTGTTTTGAGGAAGCAGCTCTGAAGGGCTTTCTGTAATTTTGCCTTCCATCTCTCTGGAAATGGTTTCCTCCAGTCCACTTTCATTATAAATTTAGCAACATCCAATGGTGCTGAAGGCTGTGGCCTTTCATCACCAGCTGTATAAATGTCCTGTCGATGCGAAAATATAGTTATGAATGCAGATTCAGATTTTCTATGTGAGAAAACAACTTAGTGCCAACCTGAGTAATGTTTATGTCAAGTTATTTAAGTTAGAAGTGTATAAGTGCTATTAGGACTGAATGTTTTCATATTTTATATTGTTTGTATTATATGAGCTTTGTTATTTGTAATTTGTATTCGTGATTTTGACAGATGTCTGCAAAAAGAAAGATCAGAGACGACAGTCCATCATCAGCTCGAAAAAACTGAAAGATTGACCTGCTGAGTTATAAGAACTCCAAACTGGTGTGAATTGTGTAATTAGTTATGAATAATATTTTTTGAAAATAGTATTTATCTGTAAAATGGTTGTTTGAAAAGGTTTATGATAAGCATTTGATATTATTTGATACATTATGCTTTGGCATTTAATCATACATAAATATAGAGACTCTGGTTGGATAATGCCCCACAGAAAATCAAAGACTCAAGTTTTACTCTTTAGGCTCAATCCAAAATTACCCCTTGACCCTAACCCTTGTTTTCGAGTGTACCCCTTGGTCCTTAAAACAGAGTTAGAAGGGCCAAGGGATTGAAATATTCCCCTACGAAATGGAACAACCATCCATGAAAATAATGGAGGAGAGCTAGTATGAAATACATATATATATAACTTCAAGGCATTTTTGACTAATTTCTTGCAAAAAAAAAAAATAGAACAAATGTCTATAGATGACATGCTGTGGTTGTTAAAAACAAAATATCTAGTATTTGTGGTGTAGGTGGTTATATTTTGCAACTTGTTATATAAGATCAACTATTACATTCATGGTTGTTTTTAAATGTGTCATGAATATCAAATTTAATTTATTCCTAAAAATCACTTCGTTTTACCGTATGACATTTTCAAGGACTGTATACAAAGAAACACATTAAAATGTCATATTGTTATTTTTTATAAAGGGCACTAATAAAAACAAAAAATATACACATAGATGTACACAAAAAATGCTATATTTAATTTGTCCTTTCATTTTTATTTTTTTACTGTTTTGAAATTCTATAAAACGTCACTGACCCGTGTGTGTGTGTGCATGGTTCAAGTTTTCCCTGTTATGGGTATATTGTATGGTCCCCATGAGGAAAACAGCTTATCATATTAAATGTTGTTTTTTATGTAAAAAATGCAGAACGTTTTGAGTGAAGGATAGCTTTGGGTTAGAGTTAGTTAGTGTAAGGGGAGAGAATATACAGTTTGTACAGTATACATGAAAACCTGTGGGTGTGTAATTAATAAATAAATATTACAATGACTCACGTCAATGTCCATTGGTTCAACTGCCTGTTCCATTGATATCACAGTGCGAGAGAATCTCCAATGAATACTTTAGCCTTGAGTAAATAATAGGAAAAGAGTTTTTATTTAGAAATAAAACGAATAAATACAAAAACGCTTCAAAGAACTTGCAGATATTGGTAAAAAAAAATCTAAGGAAGTGCAGGACATATTTAAACTTAGTAAGCGCCAAACAGAAAGTTATAGCCACTCGATAATTAACACTAGCTTGCATTTTTGTCAATATCGATAGCGAAGTAGGCTACATTTAGTTTCATTTTTGTTTCAGAGCTGTGGAAAAAACACGTTCAAACATTTTGTTTAAATTTGATCCTTCGCCTTAATCATTATCTGGACTGCAGACACACATAATGGCCGTCGATGATCAAAGTGGAGATCAATATATTATTAACAGCGCAGCTCGAGAATATTAGTTCTAGATTATACGTAGGCTAAGGTCATTGTCGGCAAAGTAGTGCCACAATAATTAAACAATAAGAAGAACAAAATGGTGTTTAAATCTGGTAGCCTACCGTCTAATTACCGAAAAGCGTCAGCTGTGTGAAACTGGGCTGTAGATCTTCAACCTGTATCAACTGGTGTTTGAGCGAAAACGAAAGCAAACGTTTGTGAGAACGATCCAGTAATGTATTAAGGGAGGAGGGAGTGAATCTTAGATGTGTGCATATTATACATTTTGTAAACACCACGGAATATAACATCGATGACGATGTGTCTTTTTTTTTTTTTTTGACGACGATGTGTCTAGGGTATGGATGTCTCAAATATGACAAAATAGTATCTGGCTATCAGGCTATAGACAATTAGGCATTTTGAGCTTCAGACACATCTTTCACATTAACTTACATGATATCTGTACGCTCTCAAATATGATATTGATACTGTATATTGAAAAAGTAGTTAAATTGAATGATTAACCTACATTTTAGATACAATAGCTACTCTTCAACATTTTCAGTTTTCTGTGAAATTCCCTTGGGACCAAAACAAAATTATTTTGATATTTTTTTTCTTCTCACAGCTAATACATAGAATAAATAATCAAATTAAGCCAGAGTATTTAAAGGGATAGTTCACCCAACAATTATGTCACCATTTACACTCTCATGTCCTTCATATTTTAATGAAACCTAAGAGGTTTCTGTCCGACCATTGGCAATAACCAAAACATATGTAGATCCCAACAGGTCATAAATGCATTGTAAAACTCTGCAAGACGCTTTTGTTTCTCATGGGAATGTAAAAGTTTTGTGAGAGAACCCAAAAGCATTAAAATATAGCCTATAGCCTATAATTTTCTCCCATCTTATATTTCTTCTTTGAAAAACTGCCACAAAAAAATGGATTGGGGGAGACCGGGTTGTAACACTTTTTGCTTCTGTAACTACAACTCACTGAATTTTATAGCTAGAGTTCTCAAATTTGTATACAAAGTACCCTCATTTTTTCACTACAAATGGCACCAATTCAATCCCCTACAAGTATATCACAGACCTCGTGAGTTGATGTTAAATACATACAATACCTTCGTTACAACCTAGTAACGAAGACTGTATCACATGTTGCCTAAGAAACTACATTTTAATATAATATAAGTCAAACTATTTTATCTGCAATAGTTTAGATACTAGACAAAATAGTCTTGGTCAAAAATATTTACTTTCTCACCTCAAAATCAGTTTTTCTCTATAAATTCAGAATGTGTTGGTTTCCAGACTTGACAACTACAGTATCAGGGAGGAAGTAAAGTGGGTAAATACTGAAATGATCACATGACTCCTATCTTGTCCCAAAGTGGTAGAAATGGTGGTGTTACAACTCTCCCCATGTTATACCATCCTGGAGAACAAAACATGAGATAACAATCTGAAAAAAAGTTTAATCTGGTTCTGATCCAGATTAAACTTTTTGAACAACTGGGCCTAGAAGTAAGCCTAATTTATTTATTTTTTTCCTGTATAGGGCCTGTAAAGAGCTTGTTATTAAAATCCAATTAGTACAGCTATACTAATATCATTTCTTTTGAAAAGGCATATTTTAATCTAAATTATTGTGGCTTATTTCTGGTGTGGTCCATCTCTTCGATACAAATAAGCAAATGTAGTGATTTATTTGGCACTGTATCATTATTTAAAGACTCTCAAAAGTCTCTCTGGTGAAAATCCAGCTTTTAATGTTGTTTATGTCTATGTGGTGTTTTTAAATGCTCTTAAACCATGTGTAAATTCATAAGTCGACAGCATTGCTGAGTATTTCCTCCTTAAAACTGAAGTGAACCAAAGACAGTCTCAAAAACACGGGTTGAAATCGCTGTTGTTTCAGGGAAAAATGTTTAAATGTGTAATTTTGGTGAAGGTGAGTTTTGAGTCATGATTGACTACATCGGGACTTTACAGTGAGAGACAGAGCCTCTCACCTCAAACATGTTAAAACAGATTTATTAACATTTTTAAAGTATTTTTCTTTTATTTGTAAAAAATAACTCATCATAGTTATTATGTGAAAGAGTCCATAAACCTTTACAAACAGATTGGATTCATATCAGCTGCTTACATCCAGCGCCACCTACTGGTCAAAGCAGAGTGAACAGAGCATGGTAGTGGAGAATGATGAATTGACAATGACTGGATGGTTGTGCTCATCACTCCTACAGAGGAATTGAACACAGGACTGATCTTCAGATAGTTACTTATAATAACAGACATGACAATGACAGAACAGTTTGAATGCAGATTTCACAGCAGAGCCGGAGATGAACCTAGTTCAGCACAGCAGTCACTGTCATCTCCTCCAGTCTGTGTACATGATTCACTGTCTATTTCAGTACAACAGGAACTTGAAGCACGAACTAATGCACATCATAAACCTGAGAAAGGCTCCTCAGTCTTTCACGGTGGCATATTGTCAAAATCAGTTTTTTTTTTAATTTATTTTTAACATGCCCAATATGGAATCAAAACTAATATTTTGTATAGAATATCGGCATGTTTATTATAAATGATTTATCGGTGCACATCATCATTATTGCTTAAAATTCATGTTCCTCATAATCTTAAATCAAAATTAAGTTACTCTGATGACGAGGGCGGAGCAACCTGTCACTCACATGAGATCATCCAATAACAAACCATGTCTATGAATCGATTCCTCAGACAAAATCAAGCCCCGCCCACATTTGTTTGTGTTCCAGAAGCGTTTCACTTGATATACTCTACACAAGGGGAGCTTTCATGCTGACTAAATAAACCAGCTGTGTGCCATGAAAAGAGCAGATTTGACTGCTCAGTAACTACATTTATGGAGAAAAATGTGTCCTCCCCAAACCCACTTTAAACAATAAACATATAAAACATTGCCTTTATGTGGAACCTACTGCAATGTTAAACAGGCTTAAATACAGCTAACATGAATACTTTAACGTCTCCAGATTTCCTCAGCATTTTAATGTCCTTAATGTATTCTGTATCTTGCTTACAGCAATAAAACAACAGTTTTATACAGTAGATGAAACTGCACATCATCTCCGAGATTGCCTTCGAGGAATGTGTGTGTGAGCGTGTTAAAATCAAAACGGAGTGTAACATTTCCACTGTCTCTTGAAGAACTGGAGGTTTTCTCAGGAGAATGGCCCAAAATCAATACGATGTATACAATGTAGCTTAGTTTGCTCAACACTTGTTTAAATGTGCTACACAAATACCCTTCTAAACGCAAATTTCAACATCTTCTACCATCATTCTACTTACGAGAACATAACCATTTAAATTTTCCTACAGTTTTGATAAAGTTATGAATGTGTTAATTACCCCAAAATATACAGTGTTACCATCAAAACAGTCAACAACTGTTTATTTTCTTTCATAGCATAAAGACTTTTCTACTTTTTTTTTTTTAAAAAAAAAAATGTTTCTATAAACATAGTTTTAAGGCCTCACTTTGGCCTTGTCACAATACTTCTGAACTCCTAAAAAATATTTTACAAGATGTAGTATTTTCCAAACAGCAGGAAAACACTGTTAACCTATTTCTTTGAGTACACACACACTGTACATCACATGAGCTCTAGCAGATATCTAGTTATACTTTCAGAAATGCAGAAAATGTCAACAGAATATAAAAAGATACTGAGATCCCCGAATATTTCCTCAGCTTGGCATGTTCGCCATTTAAAATTCTGCTGCAAAACGCACTTGTTTGCTGCCACATCAATAATGGGTAGACAATACATAAATTAAACAAAGAATAGCAACACACTTATTATTATTATACAGGGTTAAATGAAGAAAAATGGCATTTTAAATGTGCCAATAAGCCATAGAAAACGGGACAAAGAGCATTATCAGCATTAAAGTGTCTATTCTGGAACAGTAATTGGTTTCATATTCATCAATTTTCCACATTATGTTTTGTAAGGAATATCAGAGAAGCTGCATCATCGGGACTCAGGAAAGTATGAGGGCTCGGTTTGGGGCGTGAGATTTTAAAGAGCGAAGGTAACGTCGGGCTTTCTCCGTCATGATCAGCTGGTCTTTTGTCCGTCCACACACAACAGTTTCCCAGGCTGAAGACATCTGTCAGAACAACAACAAATGATGAGCAGTAATAACATAACACTTAAAGCGCTGGTATAATGCTATGCTCCTTTTTACAATATGTAAAATAAGTCTCTGATGTCCCCAGATTGTGTGTGAAGTTTTAGCTCAAAATACCCCACAGATATTTTTTTAAAGCATGTTGAACTTGTCCTCTTTTGAGGGTCAGTAAAAACTAGGGATGCAACAATACAGTTAGCCAATCTGTAGCCAATGCAACAATACAGTTAGCCAATCTGACTGCAATAGATATGAAAGATATTAATAAAAATGATGTTAATTCATCCAGCTGACATACCTGTATTTACTTCCTGTTTTGGGTCGAAGTCCACAGTAGTCGACTGTCGAGTTCACGCGCGCGATCATTGTTAACTAAATGATGTTCAACATCTGATTCGGATGAACTATCCATTTGAGCTGATATTCTCAGAACACCACACAGCACCGTCATCGGCTGACAGCCGACAGTCTGTTGCTTAGTTACCAATGATCGCGCGCGAACTCGACAATCGACTACTGTGGACTTCGACCGAAAATAGGAAGCAAATACAGGTATGTCAGCTGGCTGAATTAATATCATTTTTATTCATATCTTTCACATACACTGCAGTCAGATTGACCGTGGTCCTTCTTAATAACACCACTCACATGGCTGTGCACTCGTTATGACAAATCAAGGATGTTAAGAGGCTAAAAGCAGGTTTAAAACGTGCCCCATTGAAGTCAACAGGGTGCGAATTTGAAAAAAAGAGGATAACACGATGTAGGCAACACCGATTTTTGTCGTTTTTGTCTGTACTGACAGCACTCTAAATGTACAAAAAAATGAGCTCAATGTTAAAATTGACCGGATTTCTCCTTTAAGCAAATTTGTCCCACCAAAGCCTATTTTGATCGGTGAGTGATGTAGAATAGAGAGAGAACTCTCACGTTTTTAAACAACACGAGTGCTGTCTTGCTCTCTCTCCCTTGTGCATATTAGTCGAATCAATTGACGCGATAGTAAAAGATTGGAAGACCGC